GTTACCTTTGAAAAATAAACACCAATGAATGAATGAGACCAGGAAATTGTGATTTACAGAGTGACCTGAAAAGGTCCTTACAATAGGATCTCAATAGGCGCTCTGGCGTGGCGCAACTTTTTGAGAACACGAGGGTGAAAGAGGTGTTTGTTTTGTCAGCTTGAATCTCAATTCTAGCACAGGTCGACATTAATAATATATGTAATATATGTAGGAACGGGCCAAAACTTCCTGCATAGCTTAAAAGATCTTCAGTGTACATTGGTGATGAGACCGAACCGGTTTAAGACACATCTTTAGAGCGGAAGAGCTGAATGACATGCTGACTGACATGTTGATTGACTATGATGATGACTTTGAATCTATATTTTTGTCAAATTTCATTGACGACTTGATCTCAGATCGTTGGGATGGACTGGGATCAGGACTGTCGTGTTTTGATGGACAATTACAAAGATATAACATGATATTTAGAATTATGTACATATATCATATATCTTTAGATATCTATAGTCTATAGATGTCTATAGTATATAGTAATATATAGATATATACATATACACGGAAAATCATTTTATAATGTTGTATATCATTATATCATGATTATATCCGAACAAGTCATATCTAAGTATTTGGTTCGATTTTCTTTGTTGCTCATGTTTTCTCATCTTTCAACACCTCCAAGGTCTTCAGCGGCCAGAACCGCCTCGGAGCTGAAAGCCGCTAAGCCTGGTAAGAAGGAAACTTGATGAATCTGCCAGAATCAATATCAATCATTGTTTGTTTTGGGGGGATTCGGCTCTTTTTTTTACAAAGCCACATGTTGCCAGATGTCGGTGAGTTGCTCTGCACATTTTTTGAGTTCTTTAAGGTTCGTATCTCGGGCGGGATCTGACTTGGCCTCAGTATGTTGGACCCTCAGAAAGTCAGTGGATGTTGTTGAGTTTGCAGGTGTGGGATATTTGAGGTGCAAGCAGTTGGCAAACCTGGAATGGACCCAGGCGCATTTATGCGACTCTGTGTCTTGAAAAGATCTCTGGAACCAGGATTCTTTGCTTAGAATCATATGAGTCCGGTGTATTGCCCAGTTTTGGTGATGCTTGACTTTTCCGAATCCATTTGCCTTGACCAAAGATCCTGGCGAGGCCTCTTGGAACCGCTGCCAGTTCAGAGGGGTTTGGAGAAACTGCAGCTTGTGGTTCGTCAGGGTGCTGCCAAGGCAAGGGCGTATGGAATGGGAGGCGTTCAGCTGTGGTATTTTATTTGGAATGCAATATTGACTGTTTGTGAAGCTTTGCCATAGGTTGTATGAGTTTGTAGGATATTTTGTTTCCCGTGGCATCTATCAACTTTGGCAAAGTTGAAAAACTCTTGATCCCCCGACATTGTTTCGTCTGAACATTTGCTGCTGCCAGGTTTGTCTGAAAACATGGGACCCCTAAAATCCACTGGTTGGTCACCATTTTCCCCAGTCAGACTGCCATTTTAGAGTATACCCCATTTGCAGACATCTCCAAATCTCTATTGTTAAAAAAACGGTCACATCCCAATTGTCAGATCACCACTAATTTGTAACATCATATGGTCACTAACTGTTGGTTATATGCCCATTCTATCCCATAACTTATCCCCATTGCTGGGTGAATAGTCATGATATGTCATTATATCGTTGTGTCCAGGTCACTGGCGCAGCTGGCCCTGAGTTCACCCTGCGCCTGCGAGCGGAGCCGGAGCCTCTTTCAGAAGCAGGCGATTGGAAAAGTTGCTGATAGAATCTGGAAGATTAATACATACATGTATAATCATATATATATATGTATCTATCTATCTATCTATCTGTCTATCTATATATATATATACATATGTATGTATATGTATATATATATATGTATATACATATATACATCTATACATATATACATATATGTATATATATGTATGTATGTATATTTGTATATACATATGTATATATATATGTATCTATACCTATATATGTATATACGTGTATATATATATATATGTTTATATAATATATTATATATATGTATGTATATAATGTGTATATATATATATGTATATATATATACACATAAAATATACATGTACATATTATGTATATATGTATATATGTATATATGTATATATGTATATATGTATATATGTATATGTATACGTATACGTATATGTATATGTATATATACATACACATATTTGTTTATATGTAATATAGTTATATAAATATAGTACATAGTTTCCATAATTTGTTTAGATATCACTTATTTTTACAGCCATACTGAAGTTTATTCTTGGTTTTTGACAGTGATAATGATAATAATTGATAATAAGAATACTTGATAACATTTATGGCAATTGATGATACTAGTATGTAATTGAAGATTATAAATCTAAGGACACATTTGAACGTGGTGGCAAACCCAATAACAATTCCAATAGTGGTGAATCCAGTCATAGACAAGAAACAATAAAAAATAATCATTGCGGGGTCGTTAAAACCATACCTGTACCCAATTAGTAATTAGGGAGATTTAGCACCTTACTGGTCGTTGTTGATTGGGTACTGGTTGGGAATTTGCCCCCCCCCCTGCAGCAAACCTTCTCAGTCTCTGAAGAACAAGTAGCAGAACAAAGATGAGCAAAGTATACATATATGTCAACGTGGGAAGATGAATGGCTAGCAATTACCAACATGCATGGCGCATTGGGTATAGGATCTAATTTTATTTTTCAGTTACAAGATTAGAGAAAACGAGACGTTCCATTGTCCATGTACCAACAAACTCCTTTTCCCAGCCTTTTGGTAGACCATTCATTCATGGTGTTTCCGACCCATTCAGGCCATCGAACGAGCAGTTCGGCCGAGCTGTGAAGTGAAAAAGAAAAGCACTTGGTAACAAGTCCCGTAAAAAAATGGTAAAACAGGGGAACTGGGACAAGACAGGTTGGAGGTCAGGTGGGAGGCTGTTATGTTTTTGTTCAATGTTGTAAATCGAAATGTTTGACTGTTTCTTTCTGTTAATCTTGCTAAATGTGTTGTTGAGGTTGTTGTGAGAATGTTTGGATTGAATGAAGGGGATAATTGTTGAGGTGGTCAGAGTTTCTATGTGTAGGTTCAGGTTCAAATTCTACCAAGCTGTTGTTCAAAGATGTCGAATTATTTGCTTCAAATTCATGTATTGATTGAGGTTAGGCGCTGTGGTTCCTGTTTGGTTTTGCATATCAAGCATCCTTCAATACCAAAGCCAGTTTGGCACAAATTGACTGAACCGATGTATTGTCCCTTTTCTTCGACATTCAGCAGATGCATCTTTGTGAGGCAGGTTGAGCTTGCGCCAGGCCGGTTCGTCCTTCCAAGCGGTCATGCACGAACACAGCCCGCAAGGGCTTTTCCCGCGCAGACCGTTAAAACTGGTTGGACTTTGTTAAGCACAGGGAGCGTCGTAGTGTTGGTTCTCCAAGCTCTCATTCAAAGGTTCCTTCCTGGCTTCTTCATGAACAGGGCAGTGAGGAAGGCTGGGCAAAGGCTGAAAAGGAAAGAGCCCGCCCCTGCACGGCCGCTCGAGGAGGAATACATCAAGGACTTCATCAATTCACCTCAACGTGAAGCTTTGAGCACCCCTTCCTTCTTGGTGGTCAGTGGTTCCATGTGGTTCCCAAGGCATTGGGAAATCAACCATGCTGAACAATCTCATGTGTGAGCATGTGAAGAATGGCAAAAGGGTGCTCCCGCTCAAGACTTCAAGCCGTCCTGGTGAGGACTTGAAACTCAATGAAGCGCTGCCCAAAGCATTGCAAGCAGTAAATTTGCCGCGATACTACCCAGAACAAGTGGAGTATATGCTGGAAAAGGTGAACGAGACGTGCAAGCGCCGAACAGGCAGTGCCGTCGTGGTATACCTGCAACTCACAACCAAAAGCCGCGGAGACAAATTTAGTAGGGATGCCTGTGATGACATTGCTTCCACCCTCGGTGCCTTCGCTCGCAACATCACCGACGACAATGCCGCGTGCAAGTTCATTTTGGAGGTCAGCGTGTCTGCCGTGGCCGACATCATCAAAGAAAGGTTTGACATGTCAGATTTGGTGGTGGTGCGACCACTACCTTTCGAAGACTTCACGTCTGTGGTCAAGGAGGTGGCAAAGCAGGGAAACGACTTCCGGACGCTGAACAAGGTTCTTGCCGAAGATGACATGGACGAGGTGCTGAAGCACTACTACATCCGCGTGGGGGGCAACTTGCGCGCCTTGGGCAAGATACTGCGAAACGTCTCCAGAGCAGGTCAGAAAGGTGCGGATGCGGTCATCAAGCGGGTTGAGCAGTGGTACAAGGAGAGGGTGGAACCAATTGAAAAGAAATTGGATGACCAGGAAGTGAAGGACTATCTCCTCAAGGTGGCAGAGGCAGGACCCATGGGGTATCTCCCAGAGAGCGACGAAGACACCAAAATGAAGTTGAAGCTTCTTCGTGAGGAGCCAGCAGACTGCGTCCTGAGGAGAACAACCAGTGAAACTGTGGCTTTGAAGCACTGGCATTTCGTCGCCAAGCTCTTTCAAGAGGATGAGCAGAAGTTGAGGGATGCAGGATACATGTGAGCTTCGCCGGTGGAAAAAAACTGTGACGCTTGAGATGTTTTGCGGGTGAGTCATGCAAGAGTAATTTTCACATATTGCCTGCATAACCGCAGATACCCAACCCTAGTATCAATGATACCCAGATACCAGTATCTAAGTATCAACGATACCCAGAGCCTAGTATCAATGATACCCAGATACCAGTATCCAAGTATCAACGATACCCAGAACCGAGTATCAATGATACCCCAAACTGAATATCAATGATACCCTGATATCAATGCCATGTCCCAGCGCATTTGAAACTTTTCCATACTTTCCCGTTTCTTGGCTTCTGACTTGAGCTCTGATAGGAAAGCATACATGGTCAGTGATGAATAATATGACAACAAACCAAATGCATGCAGGAGTTCAATCGAGGTATAAGTCGTGGCTTGCTTGATGGACGAGTGTCACAGCTCACGTCCTATGCGACTCACCAAATGTGTCAAAAACGCAGGCTTTTCATTGCCATGATCGCTGAAGCATCCAAGTGCACAGACTCAGGAAACTCATTAAACGCTCTGAAGCAGGAAGGATGCAATGTGAATGGCAGCAGTGCAGCAGGCTTGACCAACCTTGGATTCTGAGACTGAGCAATGGCTGCTGCTGCCGGTCTGGATGTTCACCTCCACCCCTTGGATTTGGCCTCAACTTGCCTCAACTCGAATTCTGCAGCAGTTTGGGTCCCATTGGGTACTCCGTTTTCGAACTTTGCTTTCTGCTTCCAAGGTTCTCATCAACATTTCTGACCATGTTGTTCGTTTTCGAAGTGCAAGGCGGTTGCAGCCTTAGTGATTCAAGCAGTGGACAGGCTGACTAAGAGCGGATGATACGATACAGATTGATACAGATTGATACAGATGATAGGATACAGATTGATACAGCAAGCATTCTGCCGAGTGTCCATGAATATTATTTGATATTATTTAAATTTGAATATATTTGAATGTGTTTGAATTGCTTCGCATCATTTTGCATAATTTTGATTCATTTGGCATCTATGATAGGTGTCGGTTGAGATGTTGTGAAGTAGCCATCAGGTCAGAACGAGTCCTTGGAGCTTTGCTCGGAGCACAAGAGGGCAGGTGGTGGCCTTTGATCTGACAGTTCAGCATTGCCATGTTGCCATTTTGGGGTATACCTACCCAAATTTCTGAGGGCTTCAAGATACCGGGTGGGCGGGACTGTGTAGCAAGAGCAGCTTGGCTGACGCTTTGAGGCGTGTGGACGTGCACAACTCGTTCGAGCTTGTTTGTGTAGAATCTGGAGGCCAAAGGACAAAGCCTCAGCGAATTTCATGAATTTGTACAGTCGTACAGTGCAATTATCACAGTCAGATGGACTCCAAGAATTGCTGTCTCGGTAAATCGGTGACCCATCAAATTCCATCAAATCCCATGGTTTGTCATGAGTTCCCCAATAGTATGGCCACTGAGATAATTACTGTATTCCCACAACATACAATCCTGGGATATCCTGGGTATTGGCTATCAGTCAGACCCAATTCCATTGGCCTCAGAGTATCCTAGGTCACTTGACCTCGAGTTCTTCCAGCAGCGATTGTCACAGTATTTGGAGGCGGGATGCGTTCAGCACAGTCGTTCTGATTGCAGGGGTTTCAACAACTGCTGACTTCTGTGGTGGATTTGCCCTGGGGCCTTTTCGAAGGTCTTTCCAAGATACGAGTTTCTTGGACCATGCCTTAGAGAGGAAAATCGCAACTTTAGTACAGACAACAGGAGATGGGAAAATCGCAACTTTAGTCGCGCTGCCTCCCCAACATGGGACCATTTTGCACGACATTTTGGGAAACCCATGGCCTATCTCGAGGTTGGTATTCTACAGGACCTCAACCGGAAGAAGCTGACAAGGCCCTCCACAAAAAGATCCAGGAGGCACGGCAGGGTGCGATGGAGCTTTTCTACATCAGTTGGGTCCTGCCAAACCCAAGCACAATGCAAGCACATTTGGCTGAAATTGCTCTTGAATTTCCAGGATGTGTCATGATGTGTCTAAAATGTCTCATCCAATGCTTGGCGGGACATGGGCAAGACCAGGATGCGCGGGGTGCAAAAGTATGAAATCACTAGCAAGTCTAGCAACTGCAACATGATCAAGAATTGAGTAGTTTAGCACCATCAACCAGATTACTGGAACAGAAACCCACCAGCACCTCATCCAGTTTTTCCGTAGGTGGGAGCAAATCAGAACCCCTTTGCCCTCCTCGTTGATGCTGACAAAATGTCTCGGGAGAAGGCTCGACGAGTGGAAGGTTTTCACGGACGTTGCTCTTCATTGAAAAGCATGAAAAGCCTGGCTGGATGATAGTTCTTGGAATAATGTCCAAAATCGATGATGTCCGTGGTTTGACGTTGTTTGTGATGATTAGGTTATACCGTATTCCAGGTACATTATCATGTTACAATATGTTACAACATTACACTTAAACTACCATTTGTTTGAGGTCGTGCTCATTTAGCAACCTCTTTTGTCAAGCTGGATCTGATTTCTCAGGCATCTCAGTCTGAGGAGCTTCCGGTGAAGGCCAGAAGGATCATGCAACCGATCCGTCGCTGACGAACGAGCATGAAAACAATAATTCAATACAGAGATGGCAACACACTTCGCAAATCCTTGTGCTGTATCAGATTGGGGGCAGAGTCAAGCAAGCCAAAACATGGGTTCGATGCTTGTGATACTTTCATACATTTTCATACGGAACATGTTCTGGGATCTGATCTCACGGCCTAGTGTAGGCGTCAGTGGTACAAGCAGCAGTGGGAATACAGGAATACAATCTTTTGTCATGAGGTTTACGATGCTACCATCCACATCGAGCAGGGTGAGGCTACAGTCACATGGAACGAGGCGTCAAAGAGTTTCAAACCGGCTTGTTTTGCAGTAATCATTCCTTGATGTTCATTACATTTCATTACATCAATTCAATAACTGGCTAGAAGAATGTGTCTTCTTTTGTTTTGTTGATATTTATTTTTCAAAGTTTGTGAAGCTGATACTGTAGGGCCACATATCAATGGGCCAGTTGTTTGTCGTTGCTTCAGAACGATCTTACGCTCGGACACAGGTTCCCTACATCATTGACACTCTTGAAGCAGAGCGAATTGCAGCCTTCCCTGCATGGCATTTCGCTGCGTATCCATGGCCCATGTGGGTTTGCCCAAAACACGGGGTATATGGTGCTAGTTTTAGTGGGCAAACTGAGTATTGCAATACGAATTATCAATGGGATCTCGGGCAATTTTCAGACCCATCTTACCAACGCAAAGGAACGTGAGCGTCGCCGCTCCTTCACCTGGCAGGTCAATCACGTGGCAAAATCTGCCACAACCGCTGCAGCAGGTCTATTATGATCTGGGAATTTGGTAGACCCAACAATCATAAGAATCAGCTGCCCCGTTTAGCCTCAAATACTGTAAATAATTTTGATATTCTGGGGTCGCACCCCAACACATGAGTTTATCACTACCTTTGTGTCAGCTTTTAGTTCAGATGGTGCGTTTCAAGTTTCCAGGATAAAATATGATGGTGAGGCTACTCCTCGGACTTCACGCAGCATACCAGCGGCCTTTCAAATTCAGTGGTGCTCTTCACAGCAAAGTTGGACGGAGTTGGACAGACATTGTTTGATACAGAATATTATCTATCGCTACATACATTCAGAAGTATAAGTAAGTATAGATGAATAGCATTGAATAGCATATTATGTATACATTATATAATATCAGGCATAGATGTATCATTGGATGGAAAGTGATTTGGTGGATTTGTGCATGAAAGAACACATCCTTCATGTGAGCCCGCAGCTCCAAGGTGATGCTAAGCAATCGCATCAAGGAGCTCTTGGAGCACATGAAAGATGTCAAGGAGCTGGAGATGTTGGGATTTGGGTTGGTCTTGAAATGGGATACCCCAAAGGAACCCATGGATTAGAGTGATTAGAACCTGATTGGAACCAAAAACCGTTGCTATTTGGGGATATTGGGGGGTAGACCACACTTTTGATGCACTGATTGAATGATTGCCTTGATCACACGCAGAAATGTGATCTTTGAGTACATGTAAACGTCTTTGAATATATGTATATAAACATATTCTTTGCGTTGATGATGTATCCTTCTTGGAGAGTCTGAGTGCATGTTTTTTTCAGGAAGGCCGGGCGCCCAAGAACCAAGAGGTCCTGCGGCAGACTCTGTCTATTTGTCAGGCAGGAAAAAACGACGATGTGAATTATGTGATGTCTTGGATTATCAATCCCATCATCAGTGGCTAAAGGTGGATAGCGCAAGAAGGCAAGAAAATGGGATTGAATAAGGGCCAATACGAAAAATGTGATGATCCCGGCCCTTGTAGTGACCGTTTGTTGCTGTGGGATAACCCAACGAGTTTCTGATTCCTTTTCCAGCCATGAATCTGGAGGCATTGCAGTCTGTGCATCCGTCTTCCGTGAAGCAGGAGAACTTCATCAGATGATATATAAGCCAATTGATCAGTGGCTGCTAACCCTCTGTTGATCGATGCTTATCTTTGTACTGATTTATAGTGATATATATATATGGTCCTACATGGTGTTATGCTATCCAATTTTGTGAGGGATTATCACAATTCATTATTTATTCCATGTGAAGCCAATTGAAGGACTGATGGACTGATGTTTTTTTTTGCATTCTTCCCGTCCCTTGAGGAGTTCTGCAGCGAATTCAATGATGCAACACTTGTGGTTTTGCTGGCAACACTCACCAAGGCCTCGTGGGTTTTTCATGGGGATCCCCACAGCTGATCCCTTCCAACAATGAATCCATCATCGAATTAAATGGTATATGTATATACATGATTATACATGTACATACGGTATTAATACGGTATTACCCATCATGAGTTAACTATGAAGCATCATCAAATACGATTGCGCAGGTTTGCTCGAACACCTCTGATGTTCTGGACAAGTTCCAGCTTGCGTACGACAGGACTCTTGGGGTTTACGTTGACAGAGCTAAACAGCGCAGCTGTTTACCGTTCGTCCTATCCACACCAGGAAACATCGCCCGCGACACCACTATCCATTTGGCTGAGATACAGCTGCAGCCAGCTTTGTACAAAGCACCCAACAATTGTCTGCTGCAAAAGCATCTTGCCATAATATCTTGCGATATCTTGCCACTTCTCGCGCTTGTGTGTTTGGAGGCTTGACATGAGGATATATGACTGATATATGAGGAATTATGAGGATATATCAAGTCAGCTTAGGGTTGCCAGGATTTGGACTGGCACGGGCTCCACGGATCAGAGTCGTTGCAGCCGTCCGGCTCCATGTGAGATGGGTCTCCGGGGCTGACAACGTAGCTGCAGGCACTGGAGGGAGACTGTGCTATCCTGACATGTTTAGCAAGACATGCTGGCTTATGATGGGTCGTAATCTTGCGGTACTTCATAGAGTGAAGTGAAGACCAATTGAGTGTCAGACTTTGACAGAGACTGAAGTTCTGGCCAGCCCAGGAGACATTGATGTCTCTTGCTCGATTCTGGGTTTGCCGCTTGGTGACTTGGCTGGCACAGAGTGAAGGAGAGGGTTTCAAGAGTCTCCGGAGTGTAGCCCAGGTGTGTCATGAGTTTTTTTTGATTTTTCAGAATACTTTTCATGATTTTTAAGACATGAAAGCTTCATCATGAAACTATTTCGCGTTGGGCTGCTTTTCTGAGGTCTTGGCCCTTTTCTGTTGCCCAGTGCTGGGCTACAAGTTGAGGCTTTTTGTTACATAGCGATTGGAACGCGCTCCTTGTGTCTCCAAGCAGAAAACTATATTAGACTATATAGGAACTTGTCAGCCTGTCAGGAGCAATCTTTCGCAAAGCGACTTCAAGCCAGTGGCTCTGGCATGTGCAGCTACAGTTACCTGATTCTTGAGGGTTGCAGGGCAAACCAAGGGTGCCATGCTAGGGTTTCGAAGATTCACCCTAGTGGCAAGTGGATCAACTGTCAGTAGCAGCCTCTCATCTAAGAATTGACACACCTTCTGAATGGATCCAATTTTTAGATGGAACCTGAAGAACGGGATCCCAAGGATGACTCTATAAATACACATGTTCCGTATTTTTTCTACTGGACATGGCCCTGTTGGTTTCCATGGCGTTGCCAGGCTCGAGAGGAGCTGGGAGTTGTATGGCAACACTGTGCAGTTGAAGGCGAAGCGGCAAAGCGGCGAAGCAGTGGATGGGGAACACACAGTTATGATCAGGTTGACTTTCAGATCTTTCAGTATCTTTCAGTCCAGGGTAGAAATGCTGGTCAATCCAACCGTCAAATTGGTTCAGCTGTTGCCTGTGGATTCACCGATAAGCTTGCCACAGTCAGGTTCCGAGTGCCCATGTAGTGGCCTGGTGCGTTTTGGTGAAGGTGATCGCTGGGTTGGCAAGCTCAGCTTGAAAGGAAGCTGCTGAATCGCAAGCGCGGTGGTTACCACGACATGCATCGCAATTACAATGACATAAATGCAGTTGCACTAGCATACGCAGTGGTTACAGCAACATGCGCTGAATCTATGGACTGTGGACTGACCTGGTCTGATTTGTCAAAGGTTGCAGCAGAACATGCTGAAGGGAAGTTGTCTGAGCCTTAAATCCATCAGACTCTGTTGTGCTGAGACATGTTCCAGCTGAGGATGTGCAACGTGTCAACCTTCCAAGAAGTCGGGGGCTTGTTGAGACCACTGCGCTGGTTTTTCAGATTTGTCCCACTGCTTTCATTCAGAGGCCGCTAGTGCATTGCAGGGGCCAACTGGGTTCGTTCAAGAACGCGGTAGACCCCCAAATTGAAATTTCAATGGGAAAATGATGATCAACCATGATCTTATCATATCTTATCAACCATGATCTTTTTTTGGTACTCTATTTTCAGCCAAATCTAATTGCATATGATTTCGGTGACCGCCCAGGATCCGGCCTTCAATCGGCGGAAGGAGATTGGAAGATGTCAACTTGTAGTGATGTGCTGCAACAAAGGAATGGTCATGACATGTTATGAAGTTATGAACAGTGTATGCATTCTACTTCATGATTCAATCTTCAGGAATGCTGGTGTGCTGCAAAAACCTGAGACAATGAAACGTCCTGAACCATTGAAGCCAAACATGTCGTGGTTACCTTCTCTGTTTCCTACTTGGCTCTGTTGCCTTTCGTTGATTTCATTGCCGAGGTCGGACAGTCAGGACAAACAGCACGGGCAAGTGCTGGAAGTGCTGCCATTGTCACCCTGAGTCGACATCCTCCTGACCTCAACACATGGATCAGGCCCATTTGACCAGTGAATTTGGTGATGGGTTTGTCAATGGGGAATCGCCCCCCCCAAATTTCTGGCCAGATTTGGCCAGTTTAATAGGGAAATTATGGGAAATGATGATTTTGTGACATGATGCTACCCCATTTTGAGCCAGACCCTGATCCCTGATGACTGATGCAGCGGGTTGAACACGGTTGAACTATGTTGAATGGTCAAGTCACGCGGGCGCTCAGGTATCATCTGCATTACGCTGGAGTTTGGGTCTCAAGTTGGGTTTCAAGCTGATTTTGAAGAATATTCCTAGCACCTGGTATGATATCATGAAATGTCTGAAATTGCATATCCTTGCAAACGATCTGTCACACAGTTTGTTGCAGAAGTCTGAAATTGGCTGTAACCGAAGGTGGAGCACATCTTCATCAAGTCTGAGGACTCACCCGAAACAGCGGAGCTAATCCGACAGCTTCCTACAGAGGATCAGGCCAAGGTGCTCGTGCCACATCGTGCCACATTGGCACGCCGGGGAAGGGCGAAACATGGGGAAACATGGGGAAACAATCGGAAGCAGGAAGGTGGACAGTAAAGCCAATCCTCTTTGGCAGGTCACTCTTTGGGAATCTGCAGCAAGCCTTCGCCAAATGCTGAGATGCAGCGCTTGGGATTTCCTTTGACATTTCTGCTTCACTGCTGGAAAGGTAGGGGGAGATACTACACATACTTACAGATGCGACATTAACTTTCACTCGAAACAGTGCGTACAATTGATTATAGTGGTACACCAGGATCAGCTTGTTTGGCAACTCAGATTTCTGACTGTGAAACAGTGCCCAGTTGGAGTCTCTTCTAGCGACTCGCGGCCCCAAGATGATTACACAACTCTGCAGGCTGGGATGGCTGGGTTCCCTGCATGTTTTGCTGTACATTCCATGCCATGTACTGCTGTCCCAGGCCCGGCAAACTGCTGTCATGGCGAGAGCCAAGCAAGCCTGCGAAGAGATGCACATTGATTGGTACCAGCCCCAAGCATGTAGGCATCAGTCACAACAATGTGGAGTTGTCCCAAATTGGTTGGTCCCGAATCCAATGGTTTACATTGGTTTGCCAATGTTTGCCATGATTCTCATTTCGCCTTTGAACAGTGCCATTCTAGAAACAGTCCCGTTGCAGGGATTGTTCCTCCCGAGGCTCATCCATATTGATGACGATGAGCTCTTGTATACACCGCAACACCGGAAGATCGGGGAGCTGCTGGCAAATTGCCACTGGAACAGGAAGTTTATCGGGTGTGTTTCATGTGTTTCATCAATGGCCAGGACTTGCTAGCTGCAGTGCCCACAGCCTTCCTTCAGGTCGGGATCCCTGGTATCCTATGTATCCTATGAATCTTAAATCTCGAAATATCTCGAAGCAAGCTCCTTTTCGGTGGCACTTGGAAGTGTCAGAATGTGTCAGACAGAAGTCACATGTGAGGCATACTTGCCAAACGTGGAGGCGGTGTACAAATCTGCCGAGGTGGAGTCAGTGTTGTAGAAACTTTCTAGACTCCTTGCTACTGTATCTGCTCGCGATTCATTGACTCCTTGCCTTGGTGCATATTCACCAACTGCTCCATTCGTTGCGCCCATGCAGCCCGGCTAGAAACAGGTACAGAGCTGCTTCATGCAGACTGACAAGGCCAGATGACAACACACAAATTGGAAGCCACACTTAAAGGATTGAATGAATTTGGATATCCGTGGATGGAAAACATTGGAAAACCATGGATAGTAGTCTTCCGCCTTCCCGTTTGCCGTAACTTAAACCACTCATAGCATGCAGCGGCCACAGATGGTCAACGCTCAGGTCAACGTGAACCGCTACAAATTTCAGTCCTATGCCAACGGCAAATCTGCTGTCCGGGTGGGCGCCAAAGAGGCCGGGGATGTCATCGATGCAATCTCAGTATCAGCAGTATAATCATGTACCATTTTACAAGATATGACAACTACATAATTTCGTAAGATATGTCAGTATATTGAAATATGTCTAACTCGATTTCAGAAGATATGTTCAACATCTACCAGATTTACCACAGGTTCTGGTCATGAATATCATGATGAGCTAATTATTCCGCTTTAGGATCCGATGCGATCCACTGGATGATGCAGGTTCGACCTGCTGGTCCACATCTTTGGCGAGATGGGCTCAACCAAGACTTACCATCTGTGCACATGGACCAGGAATCGGCGCTTCCAACAATGTCGGTTTATGATGGTTTATGAATCATGAGCCTGAGCCTTTGAAGATGTTAGGAACGCCAGGCTGGCTTTTACTTGGCATTTACTATTGGGCTACTTGAGGTGTTCTTGGCATTTACTATCAGCCGGCATGTTTTTTGTTGAGGATACAATCGTTGGATATCGTTGGCCTGAACTAGTTGTGACATTTTGCATTATTTCAATTGCATCATTAGTCACTCAAACCTTGACCTGACCCACAATGCCTCACAATGCCGAATCTGACATGCATTCAATCTCAATCAGAGCTTCCTTCCGAGAGGAACCTTTTGGACCTCCAATCATTGTCGTCCACTACGAGTCGTGTCCTTTCTCCAGATGGCAGGTGACGTATGCTGGAAGCCTGCATTCTGAAATATTCAGAAGTCATCTCTGTTTGTGATTATGTGGATTTTCATTCGTGATACCTGCTGGCTTGGAAGTTTGAATTTCGGAGTTTTGGAGGACAAGTTTTGGGAACTGGGCAACACATCTCCTGAGAAAGTGAGTTGCAGGCTTAGAAGAAGATGACTACCTTTTGCCTCACACAATCTTGACTGCTAGTCAAGCAGCTCCGCTTTGAGGTCAGATTCCCTTTCCCTTCTATCGCACGTCCATCAGCAAGATGCAGATTTGCAGGAGCATTTGCTTCCCAAACTTTGAACGATGTGGACATTAGAAGAGTCTATTTGCGTGGTTCTTCAATCCACACAAGAGACCTGCTTGAAAGTTGAAAAGAAGTGTGGAAAGTCTATACGAGTCTGGTTGGCAGCATCTTCTTTCTACTTTCGAAGTTGGTTTGGGATGATTCAGCTTACTGAACATTTTTTTTGGGGACAGGTGGCAGAAGCTCCAACCACTAAAGCTGGTTCACATTATTCTTGGATATTTTTGGTATGTCGGAATGTTGGGAAATAGTTTGCCCCCAAATTTGATGCAGCTGATCATCATTTTCCCACATTTTCCCATCATTTTACCCATTGAAATCTTGGACCACCTTGGACCCTCTTATGGTTGGAGGAGCAACACCGAAAGCGGCAAGGACGCCCGTGAGCTTGAGATGCTGGGCTGTGACCAGGCTGCCGAAATGGGGGGATTCACTGTGACTTTGGACATTTTCAATGGAGAAAACATGGGAAAACACGGCAAACCATTGGATTTTGGTCATGTCCCAGTTTTGACTGCACACCATATATGCACCATATATGAGTGTGCATGACGTCTTGTTGACATGCTGTACCTTTCTGAGCTAATGAGCAATTCCCATTGGTGTGAGGCATCTTTGATGCAGTTCTGGAGCCAATGGAAGACAGAAGCCAACCCTTCCCTGACATTGGAGGCGGGAAGTTTGGGCCGCAGGATGCTGCAGGGAATCGAGGAAGCCAGGGATCGCCATCGTCACAGCGTTTCGCCTGGCACAGGGTTCTTTCCCCGCCCTTCCCTGCCTTAGGAAATAGTCATGATGAGATCCGCCATAAACACATGGGCAGATATGGGCAGCATCGAAACTCGACATGCTAAATTTACTTCTCACATCCCTACCACCTTAAAATGAAAATTGAGGGGTACGTACCGTCTGTTTTTTGTGTTTTTTTCACCAAAAAAAAGGAAAAAACACACAAATAATGGAACCCAAGGTTTTTGGGTGTGCCGCATGGCCCCCAAGCCATTTGGCTCAAAAGTTTCAAACGCAATCCAAGATAATCCGAGAATTGTTAGATGCTAATCCCATCTATGAACCAACTCAGACAGTCACAGGCGGCTGAAATCTGACTTAGTGTTGTCCCTAATGACGCTGCAATCCACACGTCTGGACCGGGTGAATCTGCAGGCAAAGTGCAGCTTGGAAGCACGAGCCAGAAGTGAACGATTGAGGATATAGGATTTCACTAGGAAACATGGTGTATAGTGGGCTTAAATATAGAACTATATGGAAATATGGTTTATTTTAGGGAAATATTTAAGCCCACTATACACCATGTTTCCTAGTGAAATCCTATATCCTCAATCGTTCACTTCTGGCTCGTGCTTCCAAGCTGCACTTTGCCTGCAGATTCACCCGGTCCAGACGTGTGGATTGCAGCGTCATTAGGGACAACACTAAGTCAGATTTCAGCCGCCTGTGACTGTCTGAGTTGGTTCATAGATGGGATTAGCATCTACCAATTCTCGGATTATCTTGGATTGCGTTTGAAACTTTTGAGCCAAATGGCTTGGGGGCCATGCGGCACACCCAAAAACCTTGGTTTTCCATTAACTCTGTGATCTTCTGACATTAAAGTGCCGAAAATGCGACAGATTCGACATATTCAGATTAGAATACTTGCTCTTCTAGATCCTCAAAAACATGCACAAAATAACCAGCCAACGGCTTAACAGCAGCTGTCATGGCTGATTTCGGAGGACCTGATGCCTATCCACATTCCTTGGGAGAAGATCGCCTTATGAAGCAGCTTGATCTGAAACCAAAAAAGGTCGCTGGACCATGCTGGGACATGGGGATTGGATGCAATCGGATGTGATTATGATGTAAGTGCTGGTTGATGGTCTCAAATGTTTCAATCATGTTTGTCATGTTTCAATCATGTTTCAATCGTTTATCTTGGAGAAGACAACCCCACTGAAACAACAATACCTGTACAGATCTGTATGCATTGGAAGCACCAATCAGATTATATATATATATACTTCTTATGCAGCCCAGGTGCAAGAGTATTTTGTCCTTGACCCCAAATTCACCCGAGTTTGTGGTGAAATCCATTGCTACATGGATACCATTATAGCCTTGTATGCACTATCCTCATATCACATTGCATAGGGAGCAAGGACGTTACTTCTGTGACAAGTTTTTGCATTTCTCCCATCAATGTGGCTGTGAAGGCTCAGAAGAAAAGGGTACTGTAGGCAGTGATTTCCACAATTCACATTGGACTTCGTAGATGGAGTGAGCATGGATGAAGCCAATATAGGATTTATACACCAAGAATCATGCCATTTGTGACTTTTGCAGTGCGACAGAAGTTTGCAGACAGAAAGGACGCGTAGAAAGAAGCGCAGGATGGCGGCTTCAGTGTCACCTGTGCCAATGGACCAGAACCATCTAGCGAGGGTTCAGTCCACAGAGATGCAATCTTATGGCAACTTAGCTTGTAATTGTCCATGTGTTTCAATGTTTTTTTCTGATATTCTAGATTCTTATAATAATTGATCTTGCAATATTATACAGATTTATACAGTATGCACTTTGTGCTTGGGGGACTTGTTTGTATGAGCAGATATAATAACGATATGTGCCTTGGTCAGAAGATGATGTGGCTGAAGATAGTGCGAGGCAGCGTTTCGCAAATTACACGAGACTGCACAAGAGGATTTAACCCCCCCCAAAAAAAGGAGGTTGCCTACTTTGGCACTTGAAAATTTGGTCGCGCCTTGCGATTCCTCACTGTTTTGATTCCCACTTCCCTTTGGGTTAAATCTTGCGACACTACAATTATGTGCATGATGCATGTTCTTATCGTATACCAACTCTTGGGGCGCTCCGATTGTTGGCCCTGGTCTTCTCTTGACCTTCACGATATTCAGTCACCATAGTTTCAAATGCACTGACCCCACCACCAGAGTCCGGGGCTGTGTCATTATGGACCTCTGAGTTCATGCGAGAGTCGAGTCAGAAGTTGGATTATATATATATATATACAAATTATATGCGTGATATTGGGGGATGGTCATCAATCCTTGAATAGGGTTTCATATGCCGCATATGCCCATTACAGGGATTCCCATTCTGGGATGAACGACCATACCCGACATGCCATCTACTGTACCATGTTTTGACCATGGCACACATGATGAATCATACTGCATGATACGGCAGCGCAACTAGGCCCGAGTTGGTTTCCATCGCAGCAGCAACTATTCCTGCACCCACCCCCCCACCCACGGACACATGCAGTATCCACATATCTACCAACTGTGAAACAGTCTTTACATTTACACCAGCGGTTGGTGTTCATTTGGTAGGGCGTCAAGTCCGCTTCAAGAGAGGTCGATTGTCGTGGGTCGCGAGAGCATCAGCAGAGTCTCTCAATACTCACACCACATCAACTTCTGGACGAGCCCTTCATCTCGATGAGGAAAGCGCAACTTGGTTTGCATTTGTTAGTGTCCACGAACCATGTGAACCATGCATGGTACGTAATTTGATACCTTGCAATACGTCCGGAAATATCTTCCCAAGCTAACAATCAATCTTTTGCACTCTTCGCAAGGAATCATCTAAGCTATTCTCTTAGCAACTATGATCACTTGATCACTACGAGGTGATTCTTCCTGTCAGCAAGCGGCGCTCTGAAAGTGTTGTCCCACAATCTTGATCCCAAAGTTCCATTCAAGGGAAGCCATGGGAGAGCAATGGTTCTACAGGTGCTTAGAGTTTGAACCACATCATACACTGATACACCTCTTACTTATATTTGAATCATTTTGATTCAATGATACCATATATAATACACGTATATATCAGACTGTACATATATATATACACTACATACATATAACAGATAGTTGATATTAGTCAATATTGGTTAATATTAGTTGATGACTTCAGATGATTTTGGCACATATTTAATTCACATCGTTGAGATTCGCTGAGGCTTCCAGTGATGAGAGTGAGGAGCCGGGACCTCTACGGTTGACGCACGTGGTGTCTGCCTATGTCATGGGTTGGAGCTCGGCCGTGTCGCAGCGACGCACCTCTGTTCACGCTCCCCGGCTCCAAATGGGGTAGCAATATCCGGGGTTTCGTTTCAGTACTAAAATATGGTATTGGATGCCTTGGATGATTTTGGGCACTGGCATATTTTAGGAACCCCCCATATATAGCAATATGACGTAGAAACATCAGAGATTTTTTTTGAAGAACTGAGATGGCATTTTCTTTTTGATGAAATTATTCATTCACTTGTGGATACTTTTGACGGATCCATATCATTCCATATCATATGTTTTGAGCATTGGCTACAGTATACCTTGACCCTCAGTTGATCCATCAATAGTGCTATAAGAAAGAACTAAAACCATGGATATTTTGGGGTATAGCATTAAATGATATGAAATACATTGAAATACCCGTTTTCGGTATATGTGAGGATCTAGTTATATCCCTAGAACCATTCAATCCCATTGACATTAGATGATATTAGTACCTATAAAATAACGCCATTTTGGGTAGATACATCATGAACAACCATTGAACTACCATCGTTGGGAAGACTCTTTTGGCCACCAAGGAACTGGTGCAGCAAGGGATGAGCCAGGCCGAGGCCAATGCCCAGGTGGTGGCGGAACACCGAGAAGAGGTCTTGTTCGACTTGTTCTCCAGGTTCCTCTCGGGGATGCGGGCTGTGGTACAGGCTGTTCGAATGAGAACAATGGGGAAGATAACATGGGAAACAGTAAACTGAAAAACGTCAAACCTTAGGATTGAGAAGATGTGAGTTCATAGACCAAGCTCAATGCCAAGAAAGGAAAGGTCCAAAGTTGAGGGTCTTTCCGCAATGAGGTTCATCAAGCCTCCCAGCAGTCGATGCCCAGGTATCTTTGCGTCCTTGCAATGCTTTCTTTGTTACTTAGCGCCACGCTCCTTGGACTTGCTACTTGGCACATCGAAGAGTTCATAAGGTACCACAATGTGGCCTGCGAGGGTTCGCTGAAACTCTTGACGAAGATAATTCTGGGCATTTCGTTCTTCGACATCGTCATGGGCACCCGAGTGTGTTGTTTGGAGATTGACGAAAGTGCTTTACCGCGGCGCTGGAGGTGCAAGGATTGCTGTGTGGTGTTGCTTCTATGCGTGATGGCCGTGAATGTTTCCGGCGGATTTTTTTAAATGAGTTTTTCTTTCAACCATTTCTTGTCCTTTGGCGATGATGCTAGACTGCTAGATGATGAGACCTAATGGCTAAGAACATGATTGAATCACATTAAACATATCGAAAAAAACATCGAACCCTAATAGATCATATTTTCACCAGGTCCGTGCTTAAACAAAACAACATCTTCAACCAGCAAACATGGGAATATCATGTGAATATCATGGGTATATATGGGGATGTTTGATTTGCAGTTATATGATATAGTAAAACCTGAGTAAAATCCACCAGGTTTGGATCCTTTTGTGGCTGGGTACCGCTTCTCAGCAGGGCAATGTGCACGCGGGCCCCAGCCAAGAGCTGCCAAGTTGCCGGGATGCAGCACCTGGGCTGTGGGTGGCTACAGTGGCGCATGGAGTTGGCTTGGTCACCTACACGGTGTCTTGGGGCATGTTTGCAGGTACCAGATATTCTTTTCTGTCTTTATTCTTATATTTCTATACATTACTGTATATGAATATTAATTAGCTATCAATACATCATGTAATACGTATAAATTACACACCTGATATATATATATTTATAAATCTTTATTCATTCATTCATTTATTCATTTATTTATTTATTTTATTTATTTATTATATTGACACATTTCTAGACAAGGAGTTTTCGCCGTTGTGCGGTTGGCGAGGTGTATCTGATGGTGAGCTTCGTGGGCGTTGGAAACATGTTGCATGGCCTTTTGAGACGTGGCATGTTGCGAAGTCGCGATGCGGCACCTGTGGGCTCCTTGGAGGATAACACGGTGCCAGCCATAGAGATTGATGAGGACTACGAATGTCCTATCTGCCTGGAAGAGATCGATGAAGAGGCCGGGGTCATGACTAAAGATTGTCATCACATCTTTCATCGCGAGTGTTTGAAACACTGGCTCCAAGTGAACAGCACTTGTCCCTTGTGTCGGCTGAGCCTAGCCAGGCATTAATGCCTGGCGTTAATTCAAAAGCTAGGCAGCTAATGATGCCAATGTTCCGCCCGACCAACAGCACTTGTGATCCAAGCACTCACCGAGTGGCCTTGTTGCGATGTTTGACACAACTTGGCGAGTTTTGATCTATGTCTTGATCATCTATGTTGCAGCTGTATGCAGCTGTTCCAAACAGTCAACACACAATGTGCCTACGAAGACAATGAATGTACAGCTGACGCGATATTTGACCCTTGTATCAACAAGAACAGCTTTGATCCACATAGGAAATACTGTGATGAATCCACCGGTACCCAGCACCAGCATAGTTTTTCTTGGCTGCGACTTTAGAGTATAGCTGAACGTTTGAATGCAGCATGCAGCCGATCTCTGTCTCTAGCACCCAGCAATCGACGCTCTCGCTTTCAACGCAGTCAACACTTGAGATCTGGTGCCATGGAGGGTGCAGAACCGGTGATCAGGGAATGGCAGATGGAACAGATGGAAAAGGTGGTGTGAGGCCCAGCTGCAACCAGCTGCAACCAGCTGCAACCAGCCATGGCAACAGCATGGGGATGTGCCCAGGTGTTTCAAGTTGGAAATCTAGCGGAGACCGCGGAGGAGGAACAGTTGCTGCAAGCCTTCAGTGCGCCACTCAGTAACCATGCGCTACACTGAAGGGCAAGGCAGTGACCCTCAGGGGTTGACACTTGATTGGCATTGGAACATATGTGACTCATATGTGCATGGTCAAATCAATCCATCAACAGGGATTATATTCTCCATTGACTCCATTGATCCCCAGATTCCCCAGTGTATCAGCTCTGCGGTCGGCTGCAGGCAAACTGGGTATCGTCTTCGAGATGGTGGTGCGTTCAGATGTCCGAACCCGGCTCAATATGGCGCCTCAGCGGTCTCCCCACCGTTTCGCAAAAGGGGGGGGCAGCAATCATAGAGATATCAACCAACAATGTTGGATTATCACCTAAGTCATGGGTATATAATACTATATATATATATATAATATAATGTATAAATATGTATAATCATTTTTGAAGCATCAACAACTATGGGGTTGTCCAAAATCCGGAAGTTACCCCCACACTATGGCCTTTTGAATGGGGAAAATGATGATCAACCATGAAATTTGGGACAAACCCACCTAAGAAACCCACCGGAGTTCAATGATCGATGCTATCGTGTATACTGTATACAGGTATCAAATAATGCCAATGCAGCCAATGCAGCATGAAACGAGAGACACGGGTAGAGATTCTCATCACTCGACTGAACTCTTGCCCTAAGGCTCGATGCTTAAAGAAGGTCGCCAAGCGTGGGATGCCCAGTTCATCCCAGTTCCAAGCTCCACAGGGACCGCAGCAGAATGTCCAATATATAAATATATAATATTATGTATATATATATATATCAATATATATATATATATATATCAATATCAATATATATATATATATCAATATATATATATATATCAATATCAATATATATCAATATATATATATATATTATGGGAATCCACCGGAATCCACCGGAATATCCCTGGTAATCTCGGAATCAGGTATTCCTAACTTCCTGTCAAAGATCAAAGAAGCTGATGCTGACAGAGTGAGGCCGCACCAAAAAGATTGGGAATGGCAGAGTTAGAGTTTTTTCAGCGGAAAAACACAAACTGCCGCGATGCAAGTTGTGGGCGTTGCCAAATTTGTACCAAAATTTGTACCAGGGAAGCCTTGAAGTTGGCCAGACAAGAAGAGTTGGACCACCACGACGAAGCATACCAGGCACACCGTTGTGACTATGGCAGGCTTTCTGTGGAGTCCTCCACATATATATACACACACATATATATATATACATACAGTATATATATATGTATGTATGTTATATGTTATGTTAAGTTATGTTATGTTATGTTATGTATGTATGTAAATGTATGTAATGATTGCAATGTAATGTAATGTAATGTTATGTTATGTTATATATGTAAATGTATGGTAATGTAATGTAATGTACTGTAATGTAATGGTATGTAATGGTATGTAATGGTATGTAATGATATGTAATGGTATGTAATGGTATGTACTGGTATGTACTGGTATGTAATGGTATGTATTGGTATGTAATGGTATGGTATGGTATGGTATGATATGGTATGGTATTGTATGTATTGTTTTGTATTGTATTGTATTGTACTGTATTGTACTGTATTGTATTGTATGAATGAATGAATGATTGATGATGATGATGACGATAAATCAATATATATATAAGTCATAGGCATTCACTGGCTGCTAGATACACAGGGCAAATCACAATGCCCTTCAAATCGTTAAGGTTCAAAGCTCTTGACAGTGAATGAGCTGCGAACGGTGAATGGTTGGCTGTAAGCGGATTGCCTATTGTGTGTCTATTTGTAAAATACAATACCAATATATCTATTATATAACATTGCAGCACTATACCGTTTCTATACCATTACTATACCATCATAAATAAATAGATAGATAAATGCATGAATATATATATAGATAGATATAAATATGTATATATAATATAATATAATATACTATAATATAATATAATCTAATATAATGTAATATAATATAATATGAAATAATATATATATATATAATATTATATCTTATTATATTATATTATATTATATTACATTAAATTATATTATATTATATTAGATTACATTAAATTATATTATATTATATTATATTACATTAAATTATATTATATTATATTATATTACATTAAATTATATTATATTATATTACATTAAATTATATTATATTATATTACATTGAATTATATTATATTATATTATATTACATTAAATTATATTATATTATATTATATTACATTAAATTATATTATATTATATTACATTAAATTATATTATATTATATTATATTAAATTATATTATATTATATTATATTACATTAAATTATATTATATTATATTATATTATATTACATTAAATTATATTATATTATATTATATTACATTAAATTATATTATATTATATTATATTACATTAAATTATATTATATTATATTAAATTAAATTATATTATATTATATTACATTAAATTATATTATATTATATTATATTATATTACATTAAATTATATTATATTATATTAATTACATTAAATTATATTATATTATATTATATTACATTAAATTATATTATATTATATTATATTACATTAAATTATATTATATTATATTATATTACATTATTATATTATATTATATTAATTATATTATATTATATTAAATTATATTATATTATATTAAATTATATTATATTACATTAAATTATATTATATTATATTACATTAAATTATATTAAATTATATTATATTATATTATATTACATTATATTATATTATATTACATTAAATTATATTATATTATATTATATTATATTACATTAAATTATATTATATTATATTATATTACATTAAATTATACTATATTATATTCTATTATATTACATTAAATTATATTATATTATATTATATTAAATTATATTATATTATATTACATTAAATTATATTATATTATATTATATTAGATTAAATTATAATATATTATATTATATTACATTAAATTTTATTATATTATATTAAATTAAATTATATTATATTACATTAAATTATATTATATTATATTATATTATATTACATTAAATTATATTATATTATATTATATTAAATTTTATTATATTATATTACATTAAATTATATTATATTATATTACATTAAATTATATTATATTATATTACATTAAATTATATTATATTATATTATATTGTATTGTATATACAGACACATTTTTTATATGTACATGTCATGCATGGCGAACATCCGATCCCTGGAGGAACTCGTGGAGCTTCTGGAGTTCGTGACAGAAGAGACAGGTGATGTTTTCAGGTGGGGAAGTGAAGCTTGTGGGGGCCACAAACCTGACGATATGATGATCTGTAAAAGATGATCACCATCATCATCATCATCATCATCATCATCATCATCATCATCATCATCATCATCATCCCCATCATCCCCATCATGATACGATATGATATGTGTTTTTACAGACTTTTGTCAAGATTACATGATGATCTTCAGGCATAAAGTGCGCAGACAGCATCTTCATACAAGTCGTGCCCGCGCAAACTGGGGGCGGAAATTTCAAAGAATATAGACTATATGGCCAAAGAAAGAATGTGCCTGCAGGATGCAAGATGACCCGTGCGCTAAAAAAACAATCTCTTTACATCTCTGTCATGTGACATCTCTTTATTTTGCTGTCTTTCTGTTGTAGAAAATAGTTTTCTCTTTTCAGCTCTTGCTCTTCTCATCGCTTTTTCTTGACATCTTTTGCTCTTGTCATCTCTCTTTCTTAACATTTCCTTCTGATGTCAGCTCTTTCTCGTGATTTCCCTTGAACTATTTTTCTCTCGACATGTCTTTTTCTTGACAGCTCTTTTTGTCTAATATTTTTTGTCCATTTATCTTTGTCTCTTGACATCTCTTTTCCCTCCTTGACATTTCTTTTCCCTCTTGACATATCTTTTTCCCTCTTGGCGTCTCCTTTTCCCTCTTGACATGTCTTTTTCCCTCTTGACATATCTTTTTCCCTCTTGACATCTCTTTTTCCCTCTTGACATCTTCGGCTCTTGACATATCTTTCTGTTCTCATCTCTTTTTCTTGACATTTTTTCTCTGAGGGACCTTCTCTTGACTTTTGTTTTTCTTGGCATTCCTTTCTTTTCAAATTCCTTTTTTCCCGTCACCTCTTTCCCTGCCATTACTTTCTCTTGACATTCACATCTCTTTGTCTTCATCACTTTTCCTTGAAGTCTCTTTCTCTCTACGTCTCTTTCTCTTGACACTGCTTTGCCTTGACGCCTCTGACTTCTCAATGACACGCAAAAAATCACCTGGACACAGAAATTGGCACAGCAATTTGAGCCCCCACAACTATACCTCGGCGCCAAGCACAAAAAGTACGATTCTCAAGTGCGTTTGAAAAAGAATTGTATGCACGCCTGCAAAATCTGAGAAAAACGTCGCCAAACAAACATATTGACCCAGCAAGTGGACTGCGCGGAGCAACCGCTGGATTGCGAAACACAAAAGCAGCAGCGCACAGACACGCTACCTTGGCGCAGCAAGGTTTCAATGCCGGGGCAACTACTCGATTGCAAACCGCAATGGCACCATGCGCACAGCAACTATTCAATTGTACTTTATTCTATTCTCCCCTGCTCTCCTCTCCTCTGCTCTGCTCTATTCTATTCTTCTCTATTCTTTTCTATTCTATTCCATTCTGTTCTGTTCTGCTCTATCCTATGCTATTCTATTCTATTCTGTTCTGTTCTAACTCTATTTTACTCTATTCTACTTTCCTCTGCCCTCCTCTGCTCCTTTGCTCTACTTTATTCTCTGCTCTCTACTCTTTGTTCTCTACTCTCTACTCTGCACTCTCTACTCTCTACTCTCTACTTTCTACTCCATTCCGCTCCACTGTACTCAAGTCTCCTTTCCAGGCATGCTCTCTTCTTTGCAACGTGGTAGATCTTCTTGAACCGCTTGCAAGGAGAAGGCTGAGTCCAAAGCACCCCCTCAAGGACAGCCTCTTGCATTGCGCAGATTTTGTGGGGAAATTGGAACATTGGTTGTCATTCAGCGATATTTAGCAAAAACATAGCAAACACCTGAAAACCTGAATCTGAGTTTCCAACGCTTTGCCTCCAGGAAGTTCCTCTAGTTCCACCGGGTCAAGTGGTCCTGCAGGCTCCAATCGCCAGATTGGCACCTGTTGCGCCCTTCGTTTTGCAACGCTTGAGGAGTGTCTCCAGATGTTTGCAGTGATGAGAAATTGGGGGCAGAAATGAGGCATCAAGGCAATTGTCAACCCTTGCAAAAGCAGAGAGGTGACCGTCAATAATAATCATGGACCATTGCTCAGAAATTCAACATTGTTGTTTCCCAAAATCAGAGGATTGAAATGCACAAATGCATCAATTTTGCCAATCCCTAGTCTTGAGCCAACTTAAATGGCCCGGGTCAAGGCCATATCCAGACATAGCCATTTGACCATGTCATTCTGACTGGGTGGCTATGGCAGGTCAGACAACCAATCACCAGTGAAGTTCGAACAGCCTTGCTTGGAAAGGCGGGTGGATGGATTGGAGGATTTTCACAACATTCTCTCTTGCCGCTTGCACACTAGATTATATCAACTCCCAAAAGATAGAACAACAAAATCTTACTAGCATAGTGAAAACATACTTTTCTATATCTTTGTGGGGGTTCCTACAAGGTAATCACAACACTAGTTGTATATCAAAATTGGCAGCTTGCAGGTCCTCATACTCGACGGCGTACTGAGTGTCACCTTCGAGGTGGGAGCCCTCTGCGATGGCATTGCAGCATTGCCCAATACCATCCCTTTTTTTTCAGTGAACTCAAGTGATTTTTCCCCCATATTTTCAGATCTGTTTGGAATGTGCTGTAAAGACAAGTCACTAGGAGGGCTATGTGATTGTGGCAACAAGATCGGTGGCAACCGCGGATCCGACCTTCTTGTCAAAGCTGTGACTTCGGCTGCATCACCTTAGGAAGGAACGCTGTTTGGAGGGTCACACATGCATCGCAACATGGATCCATGGTGGATCCAAGGATGAATGTGCTCATCGAGCAGGGAGTGCTGGGGGAACTCTTCAGCGTAGGGGAGGCTACAGGCCACTGCGGGATTCTGCATGGCACTGTATTGCCAAGAGATTTCTGTGTGTCTGAAAATGGGGTTCTATGGAAACCGCAATTTTGGGGGATTCCCCTATGTTGCGGCAAACCTAATGTGTGTGAAGATGTTCCGAGATGTTGCAAGATGTTCGCAGGTGCACCGATCGGTGCTGTTTCCAATGCTCACCCCTTGGCATCCGCTTCGGGTGCAGGACGCAGTCAGCATAGGGGACACCCGCAAACAGCATCAAACAGCAACTTTCTTGGGTAATTAAATGATGATCAATGATCAACCATTGAATGTTTTAAGGACCCTGCTTTCAGACAGCAATTCTTCAAGCTTTGTCGATCTAACTTGTCAATGTCGAAAATGGCCCGCCCTAGACAGATGTTTCTTTACCACGTTTTGCCATTTTGCGCCCAAGTTCGAAAAACTCTTTGCAACATCCTGCCGCTGTAAAGATATGCATTTCAGGACAAAGGAGCACACCAGCCATGCATAGCTGTAGTACGATATAGAGCGACATGTGAGGTTTCTTGAACCCCTGTACAGTGCGATAGAAGAGATTTGTTAGCGGATTTGATTGATGTGCCGTCAGGAAGCAGTTCAACCAGCTCGCCCCTGTCCCAGTTTGAATCTGCAATGTGTTTCTAGCCTTGCCGAAAGAAGCCAATACATGCTCGTCTTGTGCATTGATTCAGGACGGGTATTCCCACAGAGGCTGACAGAGAAGACGATGGTCAGGCACAGGCAGGCTGCACTTCATTGAAGTGGTACAGTACTTTTGGATACTTTTGGCAGTTTCACCTGGAGTGATTTCAAGTGTCGCCAGCACACTGTGGCTCAAATCACCACATTCCTTTGAACATAGACTTAGGCTAGGCGGCTAGGCGGCTAGGGCAGAAAGGCAGAAAGGAGTACTTATGATGCTTCAGCCGGGGCAGGCCTTAGCCATTTGAGAATCTTTCTATTCTCAGCCATTTGAGGACACTGGTGGGAGGAAGGTGTGAAACCGACAAATATGAACCCACCCCCCAACCCTCCAATAGGGGATATTGAGGAGAGAAGGAGATTCCGAAGGGCCAGACATAGCAGCGACGTGGGCCTCATATGAGGTATGTTCTTTTGATGTCGTTTGCACCATGATCTGAGAAACTTGTCCACGAATCAAAACAAGTCAAAACATGCAGCACGTCCACATCATCGGCCAAGGGTTGGCAGAGCAGCATAGGAAAACATTTTTCTGCTAATTGAGCAGGAACAAAATCCCCTGTTGATTGTCATTATAAGGTGTGATACAGATATACTACGTGATATCTTGGAAATGAGCAAAGTTGCGCCATGGTCGTCGTGGGCAGAGTTCCATGGAGTTTACCTACAACTCACATCTTCATCTGCTGCAGAGCGAACAAGAGGAGTACGACGCGTTGAGACTTGGTCCCTCGGCTTCGCCTCGGCTTCGCCTTAAAGGATCTTAAAGAGATGAAGATAGCTGAAGCATGAGATCTCTGACATTCTCTGACTATAGTATTATAGTGTACATTGAAGATCATTGAAGTACATTGAAGTACATTCAAATCTGAAGATGATTCCACATCCCGTTTCCTTCGCATCAGCACTTTTTCTGCAACTTTATGTTTCAAATGCGCTCGACATTGACTCGTGTCACATTTCTCACGCGAGGAGGACCCGATGTCGTTTGCCAGTTGCAGTAGACATCACTGCCAGTTTCATTGAGATCATGCTAAACGATGCGTACCTCAATCCGACTGAAGCGCCGCGAAGCGACAACGAATTGCGGCTCATGTATGCCATGGCGGTGGTCCGACTGGTGAATGGAATTGTGGACCCTTGAGCCCAACGTTAAAGAATCTTGTGAGATATTGTGAGATAGTGTGAGAACAGAAAAAATCAGGGCTGCACATGCTGAAGTGAAATTGCACCTGGCGATATTGCAGTGCCATTTGGATCCAGTTGAGAAAACGTGACATTGTGGTGATATTGCGGTGATATGTGTGGTGAGGACAGATCCAAAGCACAGAAGATGAGCATCCTGGAACGTGCACAGGGACTTGAATGGCCACAATTCTTCGTTGACATCCGGCATGATGCTTCTCACCAGGTGCTGATGCTTTTTGGGGAGAAGTTGCCAGACACGTCAAACCACATACACATAAACACTTATATAATCATATAAATAAATATTAATATATATATATATAATATATACATAATATATATATAATTTTATATATATACACATACTATTGATATTATAATATGTCATACATATTTATTGAGCTAATCAAGTATGCACGGTTCTTTCGCTTTTAGAAGCTGGACTTCATTCTGGGTGTGTGCCATTTTGTTTCCAGAGTTTCACGAGTCAATATTCCTTTCTTAAACTATGGATTGGCTTGGCCGCCGCAGAATCTACCCTCCTTGCCAGTGTTGCGGCTGGCAGCACAAGAGGCAGTTTGGCCCCTTGGTTGATGAGTACTCTTGACTTTCGATCAGTGAAGCAGCTTCAGTATCTCGCTGGTTGGTTCAGAGATGTTGAGAGCCTGTAATGCAGTCTTTTTCCACAGGTACAGTGTCTGGTTTCACAACAACTTTGACAAGCTCACTTCAACGGGTGGGTTCGTTCATGTTGGTTCACATCGATAGCTGAACACTATGATCAATGTGGCCGGCTGCGCAGAGCAGCATCCTTTTCAGATCCTTTTCGAGTACCGAGCACCTATTTCCAAGTTTCAAGCAACATGTCATGCACCAATTGCTTCCACTCCCTGCACCAAAACGGCAAAAGAGGTCTTAGGCCAAACAGGGGTTCTACAAATTTTATATTATACATCATGCCGCTCCAGTCCATACTTGTCGCTGATGATGTATCTCATTTTCACATGAATCTTCGCGCCAAAGGCTTCTGGTTGAGCGCTTTTGGCGGCCACAGCTGCATCAGATTGAAGAGAGAGGTACTTTGCACTTGCAAGCTTTGTCACTGGTTGCTACATTGGGTTTCAGTTTATTCTTGTGTTTTTGTAGTGTTGCATCACTCAAGTTCAAAGTTGGAGGTGCTGCAAAGACACCGCGAACAGACAGGGTGCGGGCTGCTCGGACTTTGGACCGGCGGTTGAAGGCCCGCCATTCTTTGTGTGTGGAGACGACTTTGGACAGGTTATGAGATGTTATGAGTTGAAACCTCTGGGACCAATATTTGGGGGATGAACGTCCATTTACTTAAATTTACTTACCAGCTATTTTTTTCTCCAGAGTATGATGGGTTTGATTCATAGCCAACTTGACTGTGTGCATGCAGGCTCTGATCTTCTCAAGTGCTTCAGCTGGCAGCACCTTCTCACAGCCCAAAACCAAGAAAAGGAAGCGAGGCAAGGATAAAGCCCGTCAGCGGCAAGAAGATTTGCAGGCCGGAAAGATTTCACACAAAAGTCTCCAGTTGCATCTAGCTGCAGCTATTAGACTGGGGAAACTATTTGTGTTGATCGCTGCAAAATCATGCAAAAAACAATGAAGAGGAGAAAATAACAATTTATATAATTGCCATGAAAGGCTGCCTTTAGCAAATGCATATAAGCACGCTTTCACAGCAGTAAAACCGACAGGATGGCAGCTGTGCAGTCGAAGCACCAGCAGCCCGCGAACTGGCGGAAGAGCTGTCAGGGATGGCGCCTGATGAGGGCCGCTTGCTTTCACAGATCTTTGAAAGTGTGACTTGGAAGCACTCAGCCCGGCCATGTGTTGCAAGTGGATGCCATTCGTCAAGGGCTTCCTTTTTTTCTTCACCCGCACCAAAGATTGGTATGAGGTGATGGCGAAAGAACCTCATGCTGATCAAAGAGAAGCGAAAGCCTTGCACTTGCTGTGTGAGAACCTCGTCCTAACTTTGCCAGCTTTTTTGCCGAGATACTCCCAAGATAAAAACAAGTGGCAGTTCTGACTTGCAGAAGGGTGGCTTTTCAATGCTTTTTGACTTGAAATGCTTTGTGCCCTTGAGTAGAGAGGCAGCCGTGCTTTTTACAGAACTGATTGCCTTCTCATACCCAGTTTGATTCCACGCTATTGTGAATTAATTTTGCTTTGTGTGGTGCATTTTATGCATCAAACATCATGGCCATTCTGACAAGAGAACGAGAACGCTGTGTTAATTCTGAATCCGCAGTTCACCAGCGGGTGCAAGGACATGCTCCGAAAACTTTGCCTTGCGCTTCATGCGGGAAGTCCTGTGTCGGGCAGCTGGCCTGGCAAGGCCCAAGCTCGCCTTGGCACCTGACAACTGTCCAAGTTTGCGGAGTATTTCTGCTCCTCAGCTGATTCTCTTGGGGGCCATGGCGGCCATGGATGGCCATGGATGGCCATGGATGGCCATGCCATGGGGGTAAGAAGTCATACTTCGCCATCGCTCCAGCCTCTCAGGATGGGTTCTATCAGTGCGAGGTGAATCCGGAGGCCTGGTGGAGCAGTGGCCAATATATATAATAATATATATACCCTCTGGTTATTTAACATAGCCATGGAAAATGGCCTATTTATAGATGGTTTACCTATAAAAAATGGTGATGTTCCATGGCTATGTTAAATAACCAGATGGTATATATATATTATTATATCATTCATTATCATTCCATATTGCACCGCACGTCTTTTTGAATATTTTTGAATCACATCGGCAGCCGTCTCGCTGCGCACAGCCCGTCCCAGGAGGTCTCTTTTGAGGAGTCCGACCGGATGCTGCTCTGGCTGTGGTCCTTGCTGTCCCTGCCACTGCCGGAGCCAACTTCGAGCAGGTGACACACGGGCAGATTTAGTAAAGCGAGAATGGAGATATTACTCAACAAATTGATTTGCTGGAAGTTTTCCCTCCATCCACGTCTATCCATTTCCGAGAATTTAGCATTGCAGGAAGAATCGGGCTATTGACCGGCAACAATTCACTATCGGATGGGCCACCAATTTATGTCAATTCTTCAAAAAGAAAAAACACGATGACTGATAAACCATTGATAAACCATCAAAATTTGGGGCACTCTGGTTCAAGACAGATGCAGAATCTGCTTGTTTTTGTTGTTGCATCACATCAACAATACTTGTGGTGGCTTTCTTGGGTGCTTGTAAAATCGCACCTTGCCAAATGATCACTGTATTGTTCCATGATACCATGTTGCTATTGCTCTCATCATTCTTATCATATCATATCACATCTATATTATTCTATTATATTATATATATATGTACACATCCTAATGATATTATATAGAGAACATCATTATTTTGTCCTTCATCATCCATCCATCTGATGTCCAGGCTGCAGCAGGCGTTGCGCAGCCTTCTCCCAGCTCTTCGGCAGCGCATTTTTCAGCAGATGGCAACGACCAGGGAGCGGAGCTTCGAGGCAGTGACCCGGATTGGAAAAAATCGAAGTTTTCCAGGACTCTTTGTCCATGATTTTTGAAGAATTTTAAACTAACACAATTAATTAGAGTTAGTTTTCATATTTTTTCACATGCTTTGGACGTTTGGTTGGGTGATTGATTTTGGGTTCTGGTTCAAGAGCTGAAATCAGTCAAGTCATTTATCTCCTTTATCCTTGGATCCTTTATTCATAACAAAGCCGTGATGCAGTACGTTATAGGTAGGGGAGGCCAGGACTTTGGTCGGCATCGGCCATTGTTTCTGGTCTGTGGCCTCGCTGAGGCATCGCGAGCCTCCAAATTGTGGCGTGCCCTGCAAAGTGAGGGCATGGATGATGGAGCGGACACCTTTGTATCCTTATGCGAGGCCGAAGCATATGGTGGATATGGTGGACAAAAATGTGGACTTGGGTTTAAGGTTTGTCTGACAAATGCTGCGATGCATTGGCATGTGTTTAATATAATAATATATTTATTAATATATATTAATAGTTTGGGTGCCATGATGTGTACGCACCATTGGTCCACAATGGTCTTGAAGTCTGGCTTGCAAAAATATATGGGTGGCAGGTGCTGGATAGAGGTCATGGTCTCGAGACTGATCCACCAGGACACTTCTGCAAGGTGAGTGCGAGTGGAAGTGGCCCAAGATGTCTTCACCTGTATTGCTGACGTATATATTTATGCCCTCTTTGTACCTCCCGGTCTCTCTCTCTCTCTCTATCTGTACACATACAATTTATTATACGTACATATGTGTATCATAAATCTCATGTATGAAAACATCTAATGTTTGCCCAAAAGATGCTCTCATGCGTTAGGAGGACTTGAGAAGATGGAAGAGCTCCTGAAAAAGCATCAAAACAAAGAATCTGCGTGCGGCACCTCAGTTTCCATCGTTTGATGGGATACTTCACTTTCCCTTCAGTAATCCTGAGAATGAACAATCACCAGTTCTTAATCAAGAGCAAAGACGTTTGTACGTGTGGGAGTTCCACTGCCAAATTTCGATTACACGTAGAAGCGATTGTTTGATGTTTATGATTGTTTTGGCATCCTTTGAACTGCAGCAGAAATCTCAAGGCTTTGTGGGCAGCGTCCTGCTTCCGATTCATGGACTGCAGTGGGCACCATCTTGGACCATGAGACCCTGAACATTGTTTGTCGGGAGGAGCAGCTTGATTGCACAAGATCCTTGGCAAGGCACTTGGAAATGGACTCAGACGCTGCATATCGCTGCATCCTGTGGTACAAAAATGGCTGGCTTAAGGCATTCAGATGAAGTCTTTCTTCCAGCCAATGCCAAGCAAACTTGGCTGGATTGGGCAGCAACCGAGCCATGGCTGCAGGATGCTGCAGGTGAGTTCTCCCTTTAGAGAAATAGAAGAAGCTGCAGGATGGAGTACAGTCCAGTCCAGTACAGTCTAACAGTCTATATATAGAATAGAATTATATATAATTAATATATACACACGTCTATATAATTAATATATACACACACACACGTCTGACACACACCCTATACCCCGTTGGGATCCTAGGAGACAGATGAAGCGGTTGATGGAGAGCTCATCGATTTCTCCACCGAAATTCCAGGGCATTCGAGTTCAGTGAACAGCTGCTTGATGCCGCATTCTTTGGGAAGACATTCACTTGACAGACTCTCATTTGTAGAATGTAGTCATCCTGTTTGATGATCCTTCATGATCCTTGGTGATCCTCCATACAGGAATACAGGGGTCCCCTACTAATCTGTGGTTTTCATTTCAATCTTTGCGGGAACAATATCTTAGACACGCACCAACTGGTGATCACATACATATGCTACCCCCGCCCCCCAAAAGATTGGTGTGGAGATGGGTTTGTAGCTGTAACATCAAAGTTGGCAGGCGGTGTACCATGTATATATCATTACATATCATAAAAAAACAGAATAGATACTTGTGATTAGATTTCTATTCCTATTATGCCTATTCTATTCCTTTCATATCTACACGTGCTTCACCATGGCCAGCTGAGGCACCGAGCCTCCGGAAGTGGTGGAAGCTCCCAGCGAAGTGGCGACTCGCAGAGAGGTTGCCTCAGAGGCGTCTGCGACGCTTGGCTGAAGCCAGAATCCAAAGCTGACAAAACCGTGGAAGAATGGCCGTATTCTTTTTTTTGGGGGGAAATGATGATCACATAGTTATATATATATATATATATTAAAGGTAAATCTAGCATTTTCAGACAAACACCCACATGAGACAACTGAACCGAACAGAGTGTATCGGGTGCATTAATGCGATTTTATCATGGCTCCATGGTCGTGAACAGTTACAGTATATTGCTGCAAGATGCTGCAATTCACTTCGTACTATCTTTGTACTGGTATATCAAACTTCATCAAATAGATCAAATAGTGTTTCATCAGGTCGAAGGATCTCTGATCACTTCAGGCACGATTCCAAGCCTATGGGTCCTATGGATGTGGGCCATATCCCGGCCGATCTCCCGGATCTCCCAGATCTCCCAGATCCAGCCCCTCCAGTTGGATCCTCAGGCTGTGAGATGCTGAACTGAGTAGAACCCACAGGAAATATGAAGGAATCATAAAGAATCTTGGTACTTCATTGACTTCATTGACTTCATTGACTTCATTGACTTCATTGACTTCATTGTCCAACATTTCAGGATATTTCAGATAACCAGGTTAAAGATTTTAAAGACGTTTGTGTACAGGTCCACTGGCAGTCCACGTTGAGCTCAAGCTCAGGCGGAATCGATCACTGCCGAGCGCTTCCAGACATTGGCCAAAGAGTTGATGAAGCAGGTGCTGCAGCCCTGGAAATGAAGCGCCTGCCTTGGTGCCTTGGTGCCTTGGTGCCTTGGTGCCTTGGTGCCTCGCAACGCTGCAATGCTTAGTGGGTCAATGCAGCGGTTACATCAGTTTCTCCGTGGAACGGCCGGAATACCTGTCAGCTCAGTCAGCTCACTATACTTTGAGCTCCCCTTGTCTCCCCTTCATACATTTTGATCCGGACTCATCTGGTGGCGGTCACCTGTTTGTGTTCCAAAATGTTCCAAAAGGCTTGTGTGAAGTGTTCTGCTGAGGTATGGATGCAGCACCGGAGCAAAAATGGTCCTGCATGTTGGTTGACTGGAGTTTGCACATCGAGGTTGCATTTGAATTGCATTTGAAAGTTCTACCATGCGCAGCTATCCTAAGTCCTAAGACTGCTCAAAGATGACGCTGCAAATCCGCTGAGAAACTGCACACAGAAGATCACAGAAGCATTAGAAAGTACACAACAGGTCTCGGCTGTTTGTTGAGCGTTTCATCCTGATTTGCTATTTATTCACCCCATGACCATCCATTGGCATCCATTGACATCACTCGGTGCGCAATTTCAGTCATTTTCAAACCAAACAAAAGGATTCATTTCAAATGACTTGATGAACATGACTTGATATGACTTGATGAAAATTGATCAACTCCAGTCACTTGGTTTCCATTGACCAACAAAGCTGAATAACGTTGGCGTGCGGCAAGATGAGCTTGATTTGGCTGCTGCTGTCAGTGGCGAGTGCATCGCCAGTGCAGCCTCCAGCGAAGGCCCTGCACCTGCTCGATCAAAACATTCAAAACGCAGTGCGACGACAAAGGAATACCTTCAATATATTTCAATATGTGTTAATTAATGTGATAGAATATGGTATAATACTGGAAACAATATATCTAGTTGTAATGATGCCAAACATTTGTAGTTGAACATGTTGAAACCGGTCCTGACATTGTGGCGCCATGCTTCAAAGTCCTGGAGACCTTCACCCCATCGCAGGCGCCCAGAACTCCTATTCGCAAGCAACAGCTCCAAAGCCCTGGAGTGTCTTGACAGTGAGCTTGACATAGCTTGACCTCTCAGGGACTTATGACCCGTACTATCACTGGTACAGGGATCAGAGAGGTGCCTACTGATAGCCAGGTCAGCCATGTCAAGGCTGATAGTCCATTGTGTCTTTCACGCTGTTACGATACTCTCGTGTTTCTTTGCATGATATTCTTGGATATTCTTGGTTCATGTTCGCAGGTTACAACTGATCCGTGCCAGGTGATTTTTGCTCGAATCAATGAAACAGAGACTCTGCAGAGTAGCTTGGGCAGGGTGCTTCCATGGAGCAGATCATCGCTTTCGGATTTGAGTGCAATGGGTGCCTTGGTCTTATAAAGGTCGTAAAGTCTCCCCCAAATATGCATCCAGATCCAAGGTTTGGTGAATTGCAAAGATTAGTGCCCCAAAAAGTTGATTGGTGACAATCTGGTTACATACGTTCAATGGTCTCAGACATCTTCAGCAAATTTCAGCAGCAGGTGCAGTCTACTACCGAGCACCAACATCTCGTCGTTTCGTACGTGTGGGCAGCGCTCTTTTGCCTTCAAACTCAGAGCAGAGAGCACAGCTGCAGGACTCCAGACGTAAGCAGCAAGACAAATGACACCCAGTGTCCAGCATGTGTAGTGTGGAAGTGTACCAAGAGTGTCAGAGAGTGTCATCAATGATAAGCCGCAAAGGTTATCAAAGGTTCATGAATTATCAGCGGGCAAATAGACTTGGTAGACTGAAAGCAGCGCCAAAGCCGGACTGACTTCACCTGTAGTTGCATAGAGGGAGCTGGTTCAGGCAGAGAGAGCTCCCCCTAGATTTCTCAGCACTCACTTGCAAATGTCACGACTGTACCTTTGGGGTCACAGCTGAGACAAGATGCCTTCGCAAAACCGGTTGAGGATTTTGTGGTGAAAGAGGGTGGAGAGTTGCGAGTGCATTCTGAACCAAGACGTTACGCAACCTGTGACGAGCTAAGCTCTGAGACTTGGGCAAAGAGAATTCAGCGCCACGCAGAATTCTTGGTTGTGGACAAACCTGCTGGTGTGCCGTGTGTACCCCATGTCAGCAACGGAAGAGCCCTGGTTGCACATTGACATGTAGCTGCCCATCACGGTGGCAACGAATTGAAAAGGGGCACAGATGACCATGGAGTCTTTACTGACACTTTGTTGAAAACAAGAATGATTCAATGTGTCACGAGAACGGTTGGTTTAATACTTCTGGAATGCAACTTTATTGCTGAAAGAGCGGCTCCGGGCAAAGTTTGAACCTATTTCCAATGAGTCTTTGGATGTTTTTAGCATTTTTGACCCTGGATCAATTTCTACTAGTAAGGAGAGTGGTTGGTTCCTTGTGTGGCAGCTGCAATCGCGGCAAGTAGAAAGAAACGAACAAGGGAAGATGCAGACATTGAGCTGGTTCCCTGCAATCGCTTGGATGTGCAAACTTCTGGTCTAGTAGTGCTAGCGGAAACCAAAGATGCTGCACGGCGTTTCCAACAGCTCCTACTGGATGGCAAAGTGCAAAAGCGTTATCGGGCCTTGGTGCCGGGACAAAGTTTCCAGGCAAATCAGACCTTGGAACACCAAATTTCAGACTCGGTCTTTGGAAAACCAGTCCCCCGTTTGATTGCGCCAATAAATGCTGCTACAGATGACAGTGTGCACAAGTGGCGAGATGCTTGTGCAACCATCAAAGGCGCGACACGTTGCGATCAGCTGCAAGAGCTGGAAGTTGAGCTTCACACTGGCCGAACCCATCAACTACGAGCGCAATTGGCGGCCATTGGCAGTCCAATTGTGGATGATGCTCTATACAAAGGTCTTAGTGGTTTCATGTGGAGAGAGAATTCTGATGACCAGCAAGCAGCCTTCCTGGTCACAGCAGCGGACAGGAGTGATGCTCCCATCGGGCTACAGTGTAGCGAGCTGGAATTTGACTCTGAAGTATTCCATGCAGGTGAGCCATGGTGGATGCCGTGACAACATCTTCCAGCCAAGACCTGGTGACACCCTTGAGTAATATGTTATAATATGTTAGAATATGTTGCCATATGTTGCCATGCTGCGGGAAAAAGTGATAGACATTGCAGCTGCGTCGTTGCCAATGGTGAACAGAAGCATTGCCAACTCTGCGGGGACAAGTTTGCAGAGCCGCGAAATCCTAATGCACGAGTTACGTGTTTGCAGGCTGATCCTGCATACCTCGATGATGAACATGAATTGAAAGATCGTCAGATGCTTAGCATGCTTTGAAATCCAATTCTCCATCAACTCCTGTAAACCTCCATTTGCTCCTTGGAAATTTGTGTGTTTCTGATTCTTCAAACGGGGATATGTGACAGCATGTGCCCAACGATTCAACTTTTGGTCATCGTATCAAAATGGCTCATATTTATTCAAGAACCCCCCTAGCATCCCATACGCTCCGGTAATCAAACATGGCTTGGAAAAATGTCGCATTCAGTTCGATGATTTTCCCAGCTATAAACCTCCATTCTTGTTGGAGATTTTGCAGACAGCCATGTTTGACTAACGAAGGGTGCTTTCATTCCACAAATTATCCATTAATGCATCCACCATTTTTGTTTGTACATTCGATTGAGGTATCATTACAATGGATAATTGATGGTCAATGTGCATAATTATCCATTCATGATCATTAATAGTGATTCATGATCCATTCATTCATCACCTATACATTCAATGATTCACCAATGATCCATGAATTATTCAGCCATTATATATATATAATTATCCATTGATTATATATATATATAATATGACTCTCTCTCTCTATATATATATATGATATGATTATACAAAAATATATACATATCATACATATCCATGAATTGGTCCCATTAATTCATCCCATCTGATGTGGATTCTCCAGGTGTTGGACTCGATGGCGAGCCTGGCGCTGGTTACGGCAGCAGCGAGGGCAGGGCCGGAGCCGGGGCCGGCGCAGCTGGCGTACCTCAGTGGTACAGAGCTTAAGATGCTGTGCTTGTGGGAACAATATGGGAATTGTTTGGAAGATTATATTATTTCCATAATATATTTCCATCTACAGTAATATATAAAACAAATTAAGAATAAAACAATATGTATATTTATACATATTTATCCATATTATTATTTATATATATATATATATATTCTGAGAATGCGCAGAGCAGCTTTGATATTTTGACAATTTTCTTGACCTTGTGTTCCTGTCACGAGTCACGAGCATGTCACGTGCTGCCATGATGCACCTTGATACATCTTCTGTTGTCAAACATATTCAGCGAGTTCTCAACACAAGGACATTCTTCTCGCAGAGAAATTGGATGATGGAGAGGAGGTTGCAGGACTTCTTCGGTTTCACTCCATCTATAATATATGTCAAACTATGTCAAACTCATTGGTGCTCTGAGTTGCTGGGATGGTTCTGGTTCTGAAAGGAATACGAAGACGATCCGACAATAGCGTCAAGGCCAGTGCGCTAAATGCATCCTAAAGCTGATGAGAATTACCCCCATTACGTTGCTCACCAATCATATTCTGTTGGACAAGTGGTGAGATGTGGTGACATTTAAGCTTGTGAAAATCTTACCAGCAAACTCCGAGGGTTATTGGATATTTATTTTTGTCATCCGTCGCCGGTGGCTGGATCCGGAGCTGACCCGGACAGTCCAAAAACTTCATTTTGCCAGCACGCGAGTCATTTTTTAAACATGTTTTGTCATTTTGTTTGTCATTTTTGTGGTCTTGTTTTGCTGTTGTCGTTTGTTATTTTTTGTTTTTTTTTTGCATTTCCCAGATTGGGAATAATTTGTTAAGCATTTGTTTGCATTTCCCAAACCAAAATGACAAAAAATGACAAAGAAATGAAAATAAATGCCAATGCAAATCCAAAATGACAAACCTGAATGAAAAAAAAAAGACAACAAAGTTACAAAATAACGATTTCAGATTTTCCAGTGTTTGCAGGCCCAATATTTTTCTAAATTGAAGCAGTGCAGAGGTTGGCCAACAAGAAGAAGCAGCAGCAAAAGAAGCGCGAAGAAGATACAAAGCGCTTCCGTTGGGGCCCTCAGAGCCTCCAGATCCGAAGGCGAAAAGAAAGTAAACCGCAAGAACAGTCAAGGCACACGAGATGATATTTTTTATCCAACGGTGTGGTCTTCATGGTCAATTGAGCAGTGTTCAAAACCCCTGTTGGTTGATGATTAGTTGGGGGATTATACTACCCAATATATTGGGCATTATCATAATCTGATAATCCAATAGGGGAATCCTCATTAACCAACCAATAGAATGGAATGACAGAGGGATATTGAACACTGCTTTGTCGATCTTTTTGAGGCTGGTTGTCTTCTTGGATTGGCCTTCATCACGAGGATTTGCTGAGCGGAAATCGCAATCTTTTTTGACCATGGACCATGGTGTTTTATTGCGGCCCAAAATGCGTTGGGTGTCTGCCAGGACTGATCCTTGCAGACGTTGAACGCCTTGAAGGCACTTCTGGTGCATTGCAAGCAGGCTGTTCGGCCAATTCTTTCTGTTACTGTAAATGCTTTTGCAAGTCTGTACCGCGTAAACGTATCGTAATGCGACGTAAAGTATCGAATTGTACTCGTAGAATCAATATAAATGATTATAAAATATTATAAATGTATATATATAAATTATAAATTTAAATGTCATAAAAGTTATATGTGGTCCATACATGTCTGAAATCGTTCATGGAAATGTTTCAAGCTGTGACTGGCAAGGTATGTGCCTACCAGGACAGAAATTTGAGCCACGGGCCTCCTGTGGTCACGTTTCAGCGATTCCATCACACGTGGCTTTGAATCTAAATGAAGTCAATTTTCTAATTGGTTATATTATCTCAATTTATCTCATATGCATCGTAGACTCGACATTTTATTTGTAAACATGAGTCATCATTTACATGTAAAGTTTCTGGATTTTTGGTGGATGCTGCAGTCATAGCTTAGAGTGGCGAGAGACACGTGGGCGATGGAAATGTGAACATTTTTCGAGCCCTACCGGAGCCCGAACGCCTGCGAACACCGCCATTGTAAATGTCACGACTCTGCGATAAATCAGAGTTTTAGTGAGTCCAAAAACGAGGCATCGTTGAGGTTATGCATCAATCATCAATTAATATGCAATTTGACAATGATGCATCATGTCAGTTCAGGTCAAGTTTGCATAGAGACTAGGGCCAAGGCTGTAGCATTGGAGAGCTGCTGCTGGATGCACAACTGTGGCCATGTTGCCGCTGGTCCTTCACATCTCATTGTGCTTTGCACAGCCAAGGATTCATAATCCCGAGATACTTTTATCATCTTGTATCCCAAGCTTTGAGACCTTCATTGCGTTAGTTGGCTGTTCTGAAAAAGACATGTTTTAAGACCTACAGCCAACAAAGATCACAAAGATAACAAAGGGTAAAGACAAGAATCGCCTTTTCGCCGGCACTTGGGCCTTGAACAAAACATGATGGATTTGGACGTCTGACTTCAGGCGAGGAATCACTGTCTTGCAGTGCTGTCACCCGGGTTGGGTCGAAGTTGGCAAACAAATGATAGTAAAAAAAAGAAAGCACCATAGGCGACTCGTTTGTCACTCGACGGTTCTGTCTTGCGAAGCCATGACTGCAAAAGAAAGCGCTTGGGAGAGCAGCATCTCGGACAGCAAAGTGTCGAGTGAATGTTTCTGGAAGCATAGTATTGGGAATCGGCGAACACACAGTATGGCAATGTATGGCAATGTGTGGCATACATTAATATACAATAATCAATAATATTGAATTATAATTAATTGATATTAATTGTATATAACAGTTGCGGATTTTCTTCATATCTCACCATGCAGAGTTTCCGCCGAGGGCACAGCTGAGATGACGCTTCGGCCAAAGACCAAATCAGCAACAGCAGGCGACATGGATTCCTCCCCAGTGGGTATCCCCAAATGGATGGTTTATAATGGAACATAGCATTAAAATTTGGATGATTTGGGGCCTTTTAGATCTTGTGGAGTTGCTATGGTGTGATGGTTGAAGAATGTTGCTATGGATGCCAGATGAGCTGGTTGGGACTGTCCTGGACAAGCACTTTCCAACCCCAGCAACCTCATCATCCATCGCTGGAGGTGTTTTAGCTGCACTGGTTGGGACAATACCACCGCCATCCATGGATGTTGGCCAACATCCCCTTTTCCCATCTTTTTCCCTTTTTTGAACATGTTGTTGGTTGAACTACTCAAACTACGCGGCTTTGGTGAGTTTCTACGTGTTTTTGTATCATTTTGTATCTACAGCATGCGCTTCTCCCACCAAGGAGGGCGTGCATCGCGCAAGTTGACGCCAATGGATGCAGCTACTGTCACCAAACGCCTTTCCGTAGGCCATTGGCCATTCATCGCCATGGTGTTGGCAAAAGGGATTCGGATTCACATTTGATTTAAACTAGACAATTAATAACATATAACATGTTATAACTTATAACATATTTGCAAGTTGCTTCATGTCGCTTCTCCAAACAGAAAAACCAATGAAGGAGCACTTTTGAATACTTTTGATGTGCGTCGGTGAAGTCTGGTTGCCGCAAGGATCCAAGGTACAGGGTCAAAGTATGTTATAGTCACAGGCAAACCTCTGTAACTATAGCATTGGATTTCCTTGCACTCTGGAAACCATTTGCTGGAGATGCTTTAATTTCAGCATTTTCAATTTCAGCTCTCAAAATTCACCTGGAACCACTGTCGACTCGTTCCTAAGCGTTTGAGAGTTGACTTCTGGCAGGCAGTACGGAAAGCTCGGCAACACACAGTATGAGTTCAGGCAGGTCAGCTGGTCAAGTATCGTATAGTATTGTGATGTATCGTGTTCATGTTTGCTGCATAGCGCAAGAGATCAACGTTCAGCATGGCGCCACGACGCTCTTGGAATGTCTTGGATGCTTGAAGTTTGAGGTGTTCCAGTAGCTCATCCTAACAGTGCCAGAACCAAAGGCCAGGCAAATCGTGCTGGAGAGGAAGTAAGGAAGTAGTACACACCATGCACTGGTTTGCGACATGTTTCCATAGTTCTCCATAGTTTTACGATGTTTTACGCTCAAATGTGCATGTGTTGAGCAGCCTGTAGTTTCTTCAAAAGTCAAAAGCTGGATTTCCACAGCGAAGGTGTGCTGCCTCCAACAGCCCCAAAGTCAAGACGCCCCTTTCCGGCAGAAGTTGCGGTCGGTTTATGTAGAAGGAATCTCTCTATGCTTGGCTGAGCTGGGATGGTTCATTGGGATATCTTTCTTAGTTTTATTGTGATTTATTACTTTTAGAATCTTTTAGAATCTTTTATACATCTTTTATTGTTTGTGTGTTCTTTTGCATCCTTGCAAATACCCTATCACTTGAGATGATTGTAATGTCAACGAATGTGAACGGAGTATTTGCGCGAAGATTCAGACGATTCTGTGGCTCAGCCGTCAGGTTCAAGGCCGTGTCCTGTGAAGCGGAGAGCGCCACAGTCTCAGCATTCATTGTTCGGGTGATCTCGGTAGACATCCTTCACAGGCACCGCAGTCACGACCCGAATTTGGGTGTTGATGATGATGATGTTGCAAGATGTTGCATGAGATTCCAGTGGTGTCCAGCCTTGACCAGACATGACCTGTGGACCCGACATCCTCTCGATTCCTCTCGCCTGTGCGATCATTTCAGGTCTGCAGATGAGGTCTACGGCTTGGATACGAGATCCCTGGCGTCCCTGTGGCGCACGAGAGGAGGCCAATGGCCATGTGAAGGATGGTAGTTTCCCAATGGAGCCTCACACATTACATCACGTCACTCTAACAGTCACATTGCCTCTAGTCTTCCTGGCCTGTAGCCGTTGCTCGAGGCAGTGAAGAGGATTTGGCAACAAAGGCAGGGTTGTGACACAGGTCATCACAGGTTCATGGACGCGGTGGTGGCAATCGAAGCACGCATTTTTCAACTCATATTATGCGTGCTGACATTGCTGACCGTCCTGTCTGTCAATTGAGCGCTGAATGGTTCACAAACTGCGATTCCAAGTGCGACAGTATGTTCAGGGTCGAAGTGTGAGATTTTGGAAATGTTGCCTGTTGCTCCTGTTTGATAGGCACACCATGTCTGTATTTGAGGGATTTTGCAGTGATAGAGCCTGCAAATCTTTGTTTCAAGACTTTGGCCCTGAATCTTAGATGGAAATCAAGAAGAGCGCTGCGCTCTGGGGGAAATTGTTGTCAGGTTAGACGATTAGAGCACACCCAAAGGATATGGGGGAAAATCACCATTCTTAATGGGAAAACTCACTATAAATCACCATTTTCAATAGCTATGTTAAATTACCAGAGGGTAATTCAAAGTGGAACACAGTGAATTTGGACGACAGGACAACGAGTCAGAGGGCGAGGATGAGCTGCCAATGACCAAAGCTGTGTCTGACATGCCGAGGACGGCGGGAAGACAGATACAGTGTCAGTAGATATCAACAAAGCTCCAATAGATAGAACAGATTAGAAGAGTATAGAAAAAAATAAAACCTGGTAGTATGGCAAAGATAATCGATACCATCCTGGAAACTGGAAACATGTTCTATCTTTTTGGGGATTGCTATAGATAGAATATTTCAAATGACACATCATAGCTGTACTTGGATATGCACAGGTCACATGTCTTGTTTTGCAGCACTTTCTCTCCTACTGCGATAAATTGACTTTGGCTTGAATTGAGATAATACTCCCAGGAATCATTTCGGCACATCAATGGGAACGCTCGTAGTTAAACCCGATTAAACATTTTGTATGTCTTCTGCATAGTCTGTCAACGTTGAAGTTCAACAAGCATAGCAGCATAGACATACACCATGTCTTTCGTGAAGTGAATGGATCATCTCCCTGCGTTTCACTCAAGGGAGATCCGACACGTCCAATGCGTCGAGTCGCTGCAGGAGCGAAGCAATCAAAATTCTGCCACCAAGCACTGCACTGACAGCAGCTGAGCGAAGAAAATTGGGATGGCTGTGTGGCTGTATGTATGGCCAGCATGGGTCCAATGTATCCAATGATATCCTATAACAATTATAATCTATTGATACTTATTGTATAACCTGTTGTATAACCTATTGCATATATATATATATATTTATATATATATATTCCAATACGATCCAAACAGTACTGTGTATATTATTATCATCATTATCATTATTATTATTAGTTATTAGTTATTATTAATAATTTTATATCTGCATATGAATAGCACATATTTTGCATGATCATACCAATACATTCCAGACTCCGCTCTATTGTTTTGTAGCTCGCAGTGAACTGTGCTTAGGTTGACCCAGACAAGCTGGCGCAGCAAAAACAAATTGTTGAGTTCATTCTCTCGGACGATTTGCCTGGCGCAACTTCCTCTATGGTGGTGCTCTCACCTGCTGGCGGATTTTCATGGATTTTCCACAGTTGATCTGATACTGTTAGTTTTGAATATCTTTGGATCTTTTGCGTTTTTTTTTCTTACGCATTTCGTTAGAGCATGGCAAGGACTTCACAGGCTGTTGGTGCCACTTGTTGATGTTTCTCTTGTGGACAGTTGAGACATAAGACATCGTCACCCATGTTGGTTGTGTCGTGTTTGTCAAACTTTGTGAGCATCGTTCATGATGCTTGAGGCTGTATCCGCGACTCAGAGTGGACACAGTACTGGTTTCAGACTCAGATTCCAATTCTCAGCAGCTTTCAAGGTGACCTGCATTACCTGCATTGCACTCTGTGAATACTGGACGTATCAACCCTAGAGTCCATGATGAGTCCATGATGGACTGCTGGAGGAATGTCTGTCGAGCAAGAGAAGAGCTTGGCCCGCAGGCGGCGCTCTTTTGAGCTTCAGGTGCGAATGCGGGGAATTTGAGTTTTGGCTTTCTCATGCTTTCTCAATGTTTTCACATGTTTTTACAAAGTTCGGGGAACGACAAAGAGCAATTACTATCATATTTTACATGCACAATATGTTTTTTTACATTTTTTTACCCGAAAATACAGGGGTTTTCCTATGGTTTCCTCTAAACTTTAGCCTTCATCCAGTTCTGGCGCTTCGACATCCGTCAGGCCTTGATCATTGAAGGCGAAGTCACTGAGAAGACCCAAATGGAAGTTTCGGGGATTCAGACAGTTGATGTGCGACACTGAGATGTGCAGAGGCTGCAGAGGTTTGGATATGATTGGAACATGATAGTTTGGACTGTCTGGATATGTTTGGATTGGAGTTTGGATATAGATTGGTCGGATGGTTTCATTTTGGTCTTATTCTGATGTCTGGAGACGATTTTTTTGAGTGGCAGTCTGCTGCGATGAGATTATTGTGGCAGTGAGGAGTGGGAAGCGGCTCTCTCTCTCTCTCACACACACACACGTGCGACGTGATGCCTCATGTGTCTCATTCGGGCCACGGCTCATTGAGGTCCAGGACACAGCTCTAATCAAATCCCGAGAGGAGAAATATTGGGAAAACATGTGGCACATGGCCAAGTCTGCGTGCTCAGCTCAGTTTTTTTGCTGCTAAATATGTCGTGGCATGTCACAGCCGTGATGGGAATGGGGATGACCTTAGCATGAGACATGTTTCGCAACATTTGGTGAGTTCCAGTGGAGTCAGTCAAGGCGCAATGATGAAAAAGACGTGGAGGTCCAAAGCTGTGACTCCCTTGGACCAAACTTAGATCAGTTTCTCTGACAAAATCCGACAAATGTTAGACGTGGAGAAGCATTTTTGTTGTTGTCCAGTCAAATAGAAGATCTGTGCTGGAAAAGTAGCTCCGTGCAAAACTGCATCTATAGTTCAACTTAGCCATCAAGGGGTTTTCTTGCCATTCCTTTGAAGAGGGGCTGTTGCACTTCTTATGAACCTTTCTGTTTACTTAACGCGTGCTGCGTGTAATGCATCGCATGGTCCTCTAGATGTCTATGGTTAGATATTGTGTTGATACTGCTTGTATGATACATTATATATAATAAATTATTTATGTGTGTTTATATATGTATTTGTGTGCGCGCGCACACACACACATACACGCACACATATACATATACTTATGATATGCACGACATATGTTCATAGATATTCATACAAATGATCTAAAGTCAGTCCTGTCCTACGGGAGGACGGAGATGATCCATTTGAGCTTGAGGGGGTCGAAATCGGCCTTGTGCTACTTGTCACATTTTCAGATTGAACAAGATTGCACAGCTTTGAATCGATTTCTCCAGGGATGAGTTTTGCTTTTAATCATTCCAAAAGTGACCTGATGACTGGGTCATCTGGCATCAAAGCAGTCTGCTTGTGCTGAGGCATCCTTACTGAGGTTTTTGGCTCGTCACACCTTTCCTCTTGTAATTTGCTGGGCGCGAAAAAAGCAGCTCCCGCCTTTCCATTCCTCTCTCCTCCGTCCATGGTTGACGCTTTGTTGGACACCGTATTTCAATGACTTGGTGTTGCTTTGGACTTCCTGGTTTCTTGTCAGACGGAAACAGATGGATGTTGACTTGGCCAACATTCTCAATTATTTAATTGCTGGGCACTTTGGGATGATTTGAGACCCCCAAAGTGCCCAGCGTGGAACTCTTGAATGCAGCAGTTACGAGCAGCGCCTTATTTTGAAGCTTGGACTGCCTGGTTTCGCCATTTTGATTTGTAGAGATGCCTCCAAAGGTGTTATGTCTCTGTCTCCGATTTTCGGCACGGAGTGCAAGTGCCTCCCGCAATTCAAATGCTTCAAGCGATTGAAATCAGCTGCAACTTCGGCTGCTCTTTGATCTCTTTGTATTTTTTTGTTAGTCAGTGGCAATAGGAACAGCTGCCAAATGGCACCTGTTCCAGTGCTAGCTCCTGGGAGAAGTAAGTTAATGTCAATCACTTGCTCCTCCGACTGGGAGTTCATTCTGTTTGTCGTACAGACAGGCTGTAGACTGTTCGCAATGTGGCAGCTACAAAATGTACCTTGGCTTCAGCTGGTGTTTCACAGCAAGACAGCAAACGCATCAATCCCATCTTCACCTTCTGATTTGATCTGATGCATGAAGCTGACCCATTTTTATTTATTTACAATACTGGAAACATGCTGTGTGCTGCTAACGGCTTTCCTCACTGGCGGGAACCGGGCTCAAGCCTGTTTGCCTCGTTGTCCTATCTGTCTGCTCCGCGTGGCCCAATTTAGGCGGGAAACTCAATATTGCAGGGGATGTGGCTGCGGGCATGATTTTGATTTCTCAATATTTCTCAATTAGCCACTTTGGAGTTATCCAGCAGGACGACATTCCAGCACAAAGATTTCCGCCATGGAGCAAGCGCTGTTTGCAAGGCACTCTCTTCGCGATTCAGGATGACTGACCAGGAGAGTGGCAGCAGAAGCCAGGGAAATCCAGGGAAAATGTGGCATCTTGTGGTTATTTTCCTTGTCTGCAAACTTTCTGAGGAGGATATTGTCCCTGCTGATGTGGCAGACGAAGAAGAGGAGGACAGCGTGGTTTCTTCTGAGTAGAAGTTTGCAGCGCAGATCATTTTGATCAGGTGCTACAGTAGCTGGTGTCAATATGGAGACCACATGAGAGCACAATACAGATAATATATACATGATATTACAGTATGGCATCGAGTAAACTACCTTTTGCGCCCTTTGGACAAACTCAATGAATTTCAGACCTGTGCTTTTCACATGTGTTTCTCCCACATACTCGACATTTGACGACAGGATCACGAAGATGAGCAAGACGAGGAGCCAGAGGAAGAAGCAGAAGAGCCAACTGGGAAGGCCTTCCCCATGGCACAGCCGGACATCATGGACCTCCACGGCCCTCCACGGCCCTCCACGGCCCTCATGGCCCTCATGGCTGATGAAATCTCCTGAGGCCGCACCAAAGTCGTCCTCAAGGAAGGCACCGACTCGAACCAAGAAGGCACCTGGCAATCGAAAGAAGGCTGGAAGAATCTGGAAGATACAGTGTCATACTGTGTCATACTGTGTCAAGAGTTAGGTGCACTTTGTGGCAACGTCATCTACTGTAATTGCTGCAGTGCCCTTCACAAGACAAGTCGTTCGGTTTCCGTGTCATTCTTGTCGATATTTGACTGGGCCAGGGCAGCCGTATTGAGCAAAAGGCCGGCCTTTGTATTGCCGTCATGTTTACTTTGCCAGCAGAACGTTGTATGGTGATTTTATATGATTTTATTACTTTGCCAGCAGGTTGTATGATATTCTTGGGCGATCTTAAGCGCATTGATGCGCATTGGCAACCTGCTTTCCACCTTTTGTTTTTGTGCATTCCTCGGCAGTTGCCTCTCTGTCCTTCAGCGCCAGGCTTTCCGGTTTCCAAGATTCGACGGATGTTGAAGGAAAGCGGATATGCCAAGAGCCGCTTGGTTTTGCACAGAAGATGACGTCGGATTCCGGCTTTTCTGTGCTGGGTATTGCTGGGTGTTGTGAATCCTGTTGACATATCCAAAGGCTTGATGATCTTGATGCAATGCAGACTCCACTCCACAAGAAATCATCACCACAAATCTCCAAGAACAAACAACTTGGCTCAGGCGTGAAGAAGGATGCGTGCTGACCTCACCCATATTCTCATGAGTTGCTATTTTGTTGGTGCTTTTAAGATGTTTTAAGAATGTTCAAATATCAATTATCTTATGAGGGATGATGACCCCCAATTACTAGCACCGCAGGGTGGTCAAACCACCAAAAGTCTTGTTGTGCGCTAGTGTTTTTGGAGTTGCAGCTTCAAATTGACAACATGCGAAAACCAATGGGCAACAGCTTCTGCGTGTCCTTAGCTGGTGGATGCCCAACTTTCTCCTGTTGGCACTTGGGAAGGTAACCACACCATAGCACACCTACGGGTGATTTCTATTGATTTCTGGGATTGCCAACCGCCTGAGGGGTATTTACCTGACGGGTGTCATCGAGTATGTTTGCGCAGAGATCTTGGAACTTGCTGGAAACTCTGCCAAGGCATGTAGCAGAGCCTCGTATTGTTTTTCATTGTTTTTCCATCCGACAGATACTGTGAGCATTTGTGAGTCCCGAAGATGTACTTGGCGTGTTCTGCCTCGGCAGGAGAACAAGAAGCAGCGCATCATTCCAAGGAACATTCAGCTGGCCATCCGCAATGATGAGGAACTCAACAAGTACATGAGCAATGTGACTGTGAGGTCAGGTGGCGCCGGAAGCTCATGAAACTGAAACATACGCATTGAATCGTATTGAAACATCTGAAACGGCATGAGCTCAATATCAGCAAATATCATCGCTCAGCTCAATGCGGCACGTTTCTTTTGAGCCGATCCAGAACGCTCAGGTCATCCCGCACATCCACCAGACTCTGATGCCAGAGAAGCAACAGTCGAAAGGCTGCAACATGCTGCAACTGCTGTTTTGGAATTGTTAATATGTTGGAGTGGTGTAGAAGTCTACTCGGTATTCATCTTTGTCCAATGGTTGCTTCTTGAACTAGCATTCAAAGACGAACTTCAAAGATTTCAAAGAAAAGACAAAGTATGGTACTGCACTCTGTGACTTTGCGGCAAGTTGAGTCGGACCTCAAGAATGACGCCGGATGTTGTGTGTTTGGCCACAGGTATCGTTGGGGCATCATTCTCTCAAGAGTACTGAGAAGCTGAGAGGCCAAGATTCTGGTTGCTGTGTTGATTGAGCACCACTTTTGATGGAGCAGCAGTGTTCGGAGCTTTCAGAATTTGAGGCTTGCGCACCGGATTGCACTATGCTGCTTGGGGGAAAGCGCTCATTAGTGTTTGCGCCCAAGCATTGAAAGCTCAACAGTCATCAACAGGCTGCTATAGTGGGACATTCCTGTGCATTTCGACCCTTGAGACACAGCAGAATCGATTTGATGAAAACTTCTATCAAATTTCACGCATCTACATGCAGTTACTGCATGCAGAATGGAATACGGATGAATACAGTATACAATATGTATCGCTACTTTCCTTGCAGCATTCGGTGTTGGGGGGTTCCACATGTTTTCCATGCGCAAAGAATCCAGACAGTTTTGTGGTCGGTTCCAGACACGGGAGATGTGGACGAGGCCAACGTGTGCAAAGCCAGTTCTGAGGAAGATGCTGTCTGATGCGACTGACTGCAGCCCGAAATTAATCGGGCCTGGCCATGCGACGGCAACATGCTGCCGTCCTATATGAAATATAGCAGGATCATGCAGGATCTAGCAAGCAACATAAGCAGCAACATAGGCATCGCCTTGAGTCGACTCTTGATGTCTCACCAGTCATTGGTGGAGAATTGGTCAGGTCCCCCCCAAGACGTAGGCCTTGCCAAGCTGGCAGTCTTTTTCACCACTCGACGCGCAGACTACAGAAGCGCCATGAGAAGTGACGGCGTTCATGCATTGCTAGCCGGAAGAGAAAATCGCACTGCAAGTGTGCTGCTGCACCATCAGCGGAGATTGACTGCACATTGCCGTCGGCCAACTTAGGGGCTGGGAAGAATGCTACGGTTTGCTGCAGTAATTGCCAATCCTGTTGAAGTCAGTGTGAACTGACATATTACATACACTCACAAGAAGTGAACATGTCGGGGAGATTCAAGGTTGAACTTCAGCACTTTAACTTTGAATGTTTCCAGTGTCATTTGGATTGCTTGGCTGGGTTGGACTCTGATTCCAAGCATCAGTGTGGGTCGATCATTGATGACTCACCAGATCTCACCAGTAACAAGTGGTTGGTGGAGAATTGCAGATGAGGGCCTCCCAAAAGACGTACGCCTCACGAAGTTTCCAGTATGTTTCACCACTCGAAACCCAGACCGCAGAATCGCCATAGGAAGTGACGGTGTTTGTGCAATACCAGAAGAGAAAGTTGCAGCAACTGCAATATCAACGGAATTGACCGCAGTCCATTTCGAGGGCTGGGAAAAGTGCTACTGTATCCGTGCCGTTTGAACGAACGTGCATTGCCCTCGAAGTTTGTTGTTGTCTTAAGAGGAACAAGACAACTAGGAGCAGCAAGGACTGGAAGAGTTCCCAATTGCATCCAGACAATAGGTAGTAATTAAGATGTTTTTTCAATTTCAATGTTCACCACAACATGCGCTACCAAACCGCAAGAACACTTGATATAATAAGTCTCAATGTTCTGCCCTCATTTGATGTGCAATTATGTGGTTTTACCGATTTTCAGAAGACAGGAATTCAAAGATCATATGTGACTGAGGACCCTATCTGACTTTTGCCTGAAATTCGCCTCACACTTAAGACATCTACGGACATCTACGGACATCTACGGTATATAAAGACAGAGTTTTGTGCTGGAGCCATGCGCACCATGCGTCGGGCTTCCAATCTCTGGCGGCGTGCAGAGCAAAGTTTGAGGCCTCGAGGCCCTTGCGTTGCACGAAGAAGCTGTCGCCACTTTTCGGCTGACACACATTTGCTGTGGAAAGGAGTTCAATCCACCAGTTTCAGTGGAAACCTTGAGTTCAGAGATGGATCTGAAACCACCTTTCCAGTCTTTCAGGTCTTGAATAGCAAAGGAGAGCTGCAGGAGGGAGTGGACCTTCCATTCTCCTTAGAGGAAGGTGTGCAAATGATGGAATTGATGGTCAAGTCCAAAGTCTATGATGATGTGTTGCTGACAATGCAGCGCCAGGGTCGAATTTCTTTCTATTGCACCAACTATGGCGAAGAAGCGACCAGCGTGGGGACTGCAGCTGCGCTGAAGCCCCAGGACATGATTTGGCCGCAGTACCGGGAACTCGGTGCCTTTCTGTGGCGAGGCCTCACTGCTCAAGAAATTGCCGATCAGAACATCGGCAATGAAGGTGACCGCAGCAAAGGAAGAAACCTGCAGGTGCACTACTGCATGCTGGAGAAGAACATGCAAACTGTTCATGCCGTGCTAGGCACACAGATCCCCCAAGCTCCAGGAGCTGGATATGCCTACAAACTGGATGGAGAGGATCGGGTCTCCGTTGCATACTTCGGAGATGGTGCAGCATCCGAAGGCGATGCCTTCACCGGTTTGAACTTTGCCTCGGTGTATGGTTCTCAGACATTGTTCATTTGCCGCAACAATGGCTACTCAATTTCAACTGGAGTAGAAGACCAGTGCCTTGGATTTGCTGGAGATTGTTTCATATTGTTTCAACGTTTCCCCATTCCTTCGTCATGTCTATCCACAAATTGGATCCAATGGGGATATCTACATCTCCTCTCTTCTTTTTTCGTTTAATAATGTTGGCTGCCTAATAATAAAACACCCCCCTAATTTTTTGATTTTTTTCCTTTTTTTTAGGGGGTCAGCATTCCAATAGTAAATTTGGATCAGATTTCTGGAATCTAGAAAAGGGTTTTGCTTTACTTTGCTTTCTCCGAACACCTGAAAACAAAACCAGGGGAAGCACAATTGGAATTCATTATTGCCATGCCTGGTGCAGGTTTATTATTGCTATTCTGGGGCTTGTAAAGGGGATACCCTTTGTTTTTTAAAGAAGGGTTTTATAAGGAAATCAGCTGTTTGGTAATTGGATCAGATTTCTGGAATCTAAGCTCTGGATACTATACCATGCCCTCTGGACAAGGTCAGAACATGAGTTTTTTGGCAATACTAAAATTAAATTAGGCTAATTGACTTTTAGTATTGGAGAAAAAACTGGAGTTGGGAAACACAAATCTACTATTGCCATGTTGCGTCCACTATTGGCCATGCCCTCTGGACAAAGTCAGCACATGAGTTTTTTGGCAATACTAAAATCAAATTAAGCTAATTGACTTTTAGCATTGGAGATAAAACTGGAGTTGGGAACAAAAAGTTTCTACTATTGACAAGGTATCATTATTGGCTAGACAACATTAATAATTATTTGATGTATCTACTGTATCCTTCCAATACGGTTCATATTTTTTCATAGCCAAAAAACCAGGCACCCCTCCCAGGTACCGCGGCGATGGTATTGCCGCCCGGGGCCCTGCTTTAGCAATTCCTTCAGTTCGCGTGGACGGCAACGATCTGGTGGCCGTTTTCCTGGCAACCCAGGAAGCACGGAATCGATCCATCCAGCAGAAAACTCCCATCCTCTTGGAACTGATGACCTACCGAGTTGGGGATCATACAACGTCAGATGACTCCTCGGCATACCGGAAAGAAGACAAGGAAGAGGTGCAAAAGTACAAGTCTTTAGGACCGATTCCTCGATGGAGGACTTTCTTGGAGTCAAAAGGATTGTGGAATGAAGAAAAAGAGAAGGCCATCGCATCAGCAGCACGAGAGGAGATGCTTCAGGCCATGAAAAGTGGAGAAACGAAGAAAAAAGCGCCGTTGAGGGAGCTCTTCACTGATGTTTACACAGATCTGCCGTGGCATTTGGAGGAACAAGCTGCTTATGCTGAGAAGCATTGCAGAGAGTATCTGGTTGGTTCAAATCTTTATGTTTTCCATTTCCGTTTGGAATGATGATCCCTAATTGACTTTCATATATTTCATGTCTTGGGGATGGGTTGAAACAATTTGAAGCATGTTGAAACCATCTATCAGGTATAGTGCAGATTACAAGATGAGTGCATATCGTGGTCTCGATGGCCCAGCTCCCACACCTGACCCCAGCCGCATAGCTTCCGCTCCTCGACACATCCCAAAGGCCCCCAGCAGAGAAACCCAAGAACTGACCATGGTCCAGGCAATTAATGAAGCCTTGTCAGTTGCTTTGGCTTCCAACAGCAGATCAGTACTTTTTGGCGAAGATGTGGGATTTGGAGGCGTGTTTCGATGCTCCGTGGGCTTGCGGGAGAAGTATGGGGAGCATCGGGTGATGAATGCTCCGGTGGCTGAGCAAGCGATTGCAGCTTTTGCGGTCGGTTTGTCGGTTGCTGGGTACCAAGCGATTGCCGAGATGCAATTTGCGGACTACATTTTTCCGGCCTTCGACCAGATCGTGAATGAAATTGCAAAGCACCGCCCTCAGAAGTGTTGACTGGAAAAGCTGAAATGTACTTTTCTAGATCCGTGGCATGCGCATAGTCACTAGGCTTCTGCTAGGTTCACAACCGACTCCATGAATCCAATGGTACAAGGGGATTGACGCCACCAACCAGCCATGAGACAGTCCGTCCCACCTAATTTTGATCCAAACTATCCAAACTGAAACCGTATCACTCGCAAAACATGAGTACTGTTCTACGGCACTCTGGCCGAGCACCTAACAAAGCATGCCTGTCCATTTGTTCTTTTCTCCAAAAACAGCAACGGTATGACGATCAAAGCAACAGATGGCCACAGAGTCCTACCCATGCAATACGGCCAATTTAAACGCAGTCTGAAAACTGTCAAGAAGTGAAAAATAATGAAAAATAGCATAACACAATATGGTCTCTTCATGTCCCCTTAATTGCTTCCTTGTGCAATGCTCCTTGCTTTTGACCCCTGCATGGGGACATTTCTGCTTTCTTTGGGTGTGCTCGTGATGGGTCGTAACAGCAAGGGTTTGTAGATGGGAGCAACTCAGAATTCTTTTTCACTCAGGATTTAAGCTACACGGTGGATAGACATGACACCTTGGTTAAGAGATGTTAAGAGGGGTTGTGAAAACATATGAAAACATCAAAAACCCATAAAACCCACCACTGAAGGGATCGTGATAGTGAATTTTCATTGCCACTAATTACAATTGTTGTGGAGAAATGAAAAGGGTGGAACCTGCATCCAGCCTTTGCCATCAGGTACCGGTATCGAAATGCTGGCGGTGGGGCTGGCAACATCACCATCAGGGCACCATGTTCAGCTGTTGGGCATGGAAGCATGTACCACAGTCAGAGTGTCTCCAACTCAGCAACTAACATGTTCGGGTCCACAATGGGATGGCCGCCATGGCCATTTTGATGGGCAAAATCATGGAAGATGTTGATACAGCATGATACAGCATGAAATTGATGGGCATTATACACCGTTGTATTTCAGGGATACCCCAGTTTGAGACGAACTCACGTGTTTCTACTCGCTTGTTGCAATCTTCTGCTGATCGTGCTGCCCCGCAAGACATTTGTTGCCGACCTAGGTGGAGTCCTACTTTGCCCACTGCCCAGGGCTGAAGATCATTATCCCTCGAGGGCCAAAGCAAGCCAAAGGTTTACTGCTTGCGGCAATTCGAGATCCCGATCCAGAGTCTTGGACTAATGTGACCTATTGTGACCTAATTAATAGCTAATGATCCTAATGTGCACTCTTATGATCTCTTATGCACTGCAAAATCTTTTTGATTGAAATGTGCTTTGATTTTTGAAGTGAGAAGTCGGCGTGGGCCCCTCTGCCTTTGCAGTGGTACTAAATCGGTAGCCAATGCTCGCCATATCAATAATTGGACACACAGCACACGAATGAACATGATACGGACAGCTGCTCACAGCTGATGCAGCAATTATCTTGGTGCATTGAAGGTTCTGTTCTTTGAGCCAAAGGTTCTGTACCGTGCCAAAATTGAAGGCGGCATGTCAGTGTGCTTGTTCAACTTAAGACATGGCATCAAAGACAGTGTTTTTTTTGTGTGTGATTTCCATTCATCACTTGATGATGAGTCACTCTATGTCACGATTTGCTCAACTTCAATGAAGCTTTGAATTTTGAATTGGCACCAGGCCCAGATTCACAAGTTCCAGTTGGTGACTATGAGCTTCCGATCGGACAGGCTGAAGTTGTGCAAGAGGGCACTGATGCGACGCAGCTGTATTGACACGTGTTTTTCTGATGTTTGACCGAGACTGTTTGCTACTTACAGCATCTTTTTACAAATCAGTATTGATTACATGACATGTAATCCATCGTTTACAAGTGAATTTACGAAACCTTGCCATCCTGCTAAGTTGATGGAATAGTTCATGCAGCACTTTCAGGTCGTTCATTTGTTAATTGTTGTTCTGCGATGTTATGCGTTGCCAAGGTGACACTTTTAGGCTGGGGTTCTCAAGTCGGACGCCTGCAGGCCAGGCATAGAGCAATGATTCCTGCTGCTTCATGCTTTGACTTTAAAAGCACATGTTTTTGTTGGGGACATTGACGGATATTGATGGATCTTGATGGATAGTGGATCATCCAACGGAGTTTCCGAAAACTTGTTACCCCTTCAAAATCAATTAACATCATTCAAATGGTGGCTCACAAAATGAATCACAATGGATCATTCGAGATCTCAAAAAGGTCTCCAGTCGGACAACGCGCGAGGCTGCTGCAGCACGAGCAGCAGCAGAAGGGATCTCCTGTGAGGCCGGGCGCAGCAGCGCATTTGGAGCACTGGCGCTGGCAGTCGCAGCCCGCAGCCCGCAGGTCATTGATCTGCAAACGATCATCCCCTGGGATGTTGACACAGTGCAGGCCGGTGCTGTGAAGCATTATATTTATAGTTCTACAATGGTATACAGATTATAATAATTTATAATATATATATAATATACATATTATACTATATACATATTTAGTATAAGTGATGATAATTCCATACAATATACATATATATATCATATATTATATTATGATAATTATTCTACAATATTATATGATATAATATAATACTATGATATATGACCTTATATGATCTTGTATGGTTATAGTATGATGTAGACTAAGATATCGTCTTGCATGTCAGTGGCATGACATCTTTATAAAATTTATAATGTAGTATAACAGGTTGTGTTTCCTTGGTGCGTGCTTGATGTTTTGTCGTTTTCTCCCGAGGCATCTGTCCAGAAGACCGGGCGCCTGATCATTGCTCACGAGGCATAGATACGGAGAATCGACTATTTTGTAGATCATTTCACTGGAGAACCATTATGTCTGTATATAAATATTATACACATATTATACACATATTATACACATATTACACACACTATATTATTTGTCCATATCTATGTTAATTCACTTTGAAGCTGTTGGCTCCTGAGATCGCCAGCAGTTAGTCCCATTGGCGGTGTCGGTTGACATAGCACACATAACTATGGAAAATCACCATTGTGTTAATTCACTTGTTGGAGAAGACGGTTTGAGGCACCGCAGACAAATGGCTTTGGTGCCGAGATCTCTGCAAAGATTCAGGACACCACTGTACACCCATTTCCTTTCCAGCAGCTTTTACTTTTGATCGATTGGACATATTGTTGCCATGTGTTGCCCATGGTTGCAAGCATTGATGCATTGATATTGCAAAGCAGGAGCGATGTTTCCTTCATTTGCAAAGCCCCATCCAAAGAGTCTGCGGCGCAACTCTTAATTTGGCAGCGCTCATGTGGTTCTATCAATAGGCCTTGACTTAGAAACTCAGCAGAATCTTGGCTGCCAATCATGGTTAGCTTGAGGCTACGACACTCACTTCCCCTATGCATGGGAGGCCGGCTATGATTTTGACATGTCCAGATTCCAAATCACCCCCAAAGAGATGTGATGACAAAGCCAGTGTTTCTGTTTGTTTATTTTTCTGCTGTGTTGATTCTTTAGAGCATCCAAATCCATCCAAATCCTTGGCGATTGGTAGATCATTTCGTTTCAGGAATTCTACGTGCCCTCACCAGCAAGGGTATTGGACGCTATCAAGGCCCTCACTTTGTTGTCAACCCAGCAGACTCAGTGAACAATTTTGTCCCCCCACTGGGGAACAGCATTCCTGCAGCAAAATCATCAGCAAAATCCATGATTTGCGAAACAAATAGGTGTCTCAGGACAATTCAAACATGCTATGGGCATGGAGCCTTCACGCATTCATATGTGTGGTCCCAAGTATGGTTTGATACACTTGATACCAAAAAATGATACCTAATATATACCTAAACCATCCACATTTTTGGTCCCATTGGAACACCCATAGCCACAAAATCACAGAATCCGAAACTGCCTTCACTGTTGCGGGGTTGTTGTGTCAAGGCCAGCATCGCCTACTAAAGTAGGGAAGGTGACTGAAAGATCAGTCGATCATTTTTCCACCTCGAAATATCCGTTTCCATAGGCCCAAAATGGAGCCTATCAATCCTAGCTATTTTATGCTGTTCTGCTGATCAGTTTTGCTTGGCTGCTTTCACTGTGCAGCTCAGCTCGTAAGACTTCTGATTTTGTAGATTTTCTTGAAGCCAATCGAGAAATAGAGAAGCAGAAAAAAAGGAGGCAGCAAGGCGCCAAATGTTCTGAGCCTGATGTTTGGAGCATGCCTTGAATTGCTCAGCGATGTTTGGTGGCCGCATTTTGCGAGTGCTGAATTTGCTGATGCGACCAGCTTTTAGCATCGAAATCCTGACTTGTCCTCACTCAAGATGTATCAGCAAAGCGGTTTGTTCCTCGTTTGCAGCTGATGCTTGCGAGAGTCACCGTTAAGCCGTTGTTGAGTGATCCCACTGTTCCCAGGTGTGCCAGAAAAAGCATCCCACAATGATCCAGATTTGCTGACCATTTGATGAATTGGGCGATTTGAATCGATTTGAAACATCACCTGCAAGTGCTTGAAGATGACCCACTCACCGGCAAACGTCGACATTCGAGGCTGTTGGATGAGCCCGAGACACGGGCGAATCTGATTGCCTTGGAGAGTGCAGCTCCGGACCATTTCTCCAGTCCTTTGGTGGCAAGAAACAGGAAAGCTACGCAGGTAATTTGGCTTTGTCCATCTTTGTCCAGAAATGGGGGATCGGACCTCAATTTATGGCGATTTTATTGAGGAAAATGATGATAGACATTGAGGGTACAGTACCCGTACCCTATCTTTCTTTGAATGTGGTAAATTTATGTAAAATTGCAGACACGTGTGAAGTGTCCCGATTCTGTGCGTGCATGCTGATTATCAGTGGAGGTTTCCTAGAATTGCTGTTTTCAGATAGAGATGATACAGTCAGGTGGCAAGCAAAGTCCTACTTTCACCCTTTGTTGGTACTGAGTAGTGACTGCATTTTCCGATGCGAGGAAAATGCAAGATCATTTGCACGATGGGTCCTGCCTGCTGGGACACGGACATGCTGGTCAAGCTCATTGAAGCTTGGTATGCCAGTTTCTGCTTGAATCTCATAACTTCGCAATTCATGCTTGACTTATCTTGACTTGTTTAGCAACGATAGAGTGACAGTGCTGCACGATGGACAGCCACAAGCTCCACTAAGGATCAAGGGTTGAACATTGCCCGCTTGAACTTCTCCCACGGTGATCACGAGGTCCAGTAGATTGCAGAGGGAAAAAACGCAGTAAGAGTATCTAGACATATCTAGACACCGTGTGTTTAACTATTTCTCAAGTTTCATTGTATTTGCATATTTTAATTTACTAGTATACATATTATATGATTTGAAAATAACTTTGTACATAATTATTGGATTTATACATCACTGCTCGTAGGCAGAGTCTAGTAAATCTGGCCAAAAAAGACAATTATAAGGCCATCATTGCCAGATTCCCCATGAGACCAAAGCGCCAACACCTTGCAGGGCCATGGGAAGACTGTGGAGAGAATCAGGGAGGCGCGCAGTCTGGGGGCGACCCGATGTGAGGTCTGCCCCATTGGCCCGATGCCCAAAGGCCTGCAAACAACGTCCTGATAAGCCCGTGGCAATTCTGCTGGATACCAAGGCAGGGACCTTGTCTACAGAAAATGTCCACCCTGCTGATTGACAATCCTGGTCAGTTGGAGTATAATACCCAAGAGTCCAAGAGGCTGAACAAAAATCCGAAAAAAAATCAAACGTAAATCCCTGAACGGCATTTTGTTGAAGACAGATGCAGATTCACACAGTCTCTACATGTCTCTACTGGGACCGGGCTCAGGGACCGGAGATCCGAACTGGCTTCTTCAAGGACAGCGGCATTTGCATCTTCTTCAATGTGTGTTGAGAAATGTTGAGAACAGTGGTCTGGTGATCGATCGGGGAGATTGTGCCAGGAAGAGCTTGCAGGTGGCAAAATCAACTTGAAAGAAGGGCAGGAGTTGAAGCTTGTGACTGACTACACTTTCAAGGCGAGTCAGTTGTGCTCAGTTCCAGCCAGCCGTTGAGAGACAAGTCTGAAGACGGTTAGTTGTTGGCGGCACTAGACTGATCATGACTAATCAATCATTCTGATATGCGTACCTTTCGAAAAAATGACACATTATGGGAATGACAATGATTAGATAATCTAGAAATCCCCAAACTTATCAGTAACAAATCCCAAAAAATACTAATTCCATCTGTTTCCCGATCGTTGGCTCAGTTGGCTCACCTTTGCAAGCGTGTGACAGTGGCTTGACCAAAACGGCCAGGGTGATGCCACTACCCTGGCGGTGTCTTATCAGCAGTTGCCCACGGCTGTCAAGCCAAGCTTCTTGGCAAGGTATGTAGCGTCCCGTTGACCCTCATTCATCGCCCGATGATCATCCTTGAAATCGTTCTCGTCATCATCATCCCCATCCCCATCATCATCGCACCATCAACATACTTGAACTTGCCAGTACACTACAATTGACCTGAATTGTACTCATTTTTGCTGGTGGCGGTCACCCTGACAATCATATGATAACGCATTCATGCAATCAAACCTCATTTTACCCAAACCTATGGCAACCCTTCCTATTTTGACGCACGCTTCTTGCCAAGATATTTTACCATATTTTACCTATTATCCCCTTTCCACAACCGAGGCAAAGGCCTTGCTCCAAACGACAACAAACAAACGATATCATTTTGCAATTGATGCTGCAGAGCCATGGTGGCTTTCAATGCCCTTCTTCCATTCCTGTTGCCACCTCCTCCTACCTTGCGTCCACTCCTTCTCAAGTTCCCCGCCCAGCATTTGCTTGTTTCGCAGGTAATATCAACATATTTATCAATATATCAACCAATCAAATCATGTTTTTTATTGTTTGAATCTGATAGAGTCATAACGTGTGTTTTGCTTGAGGCAGCATCATTCTGGCGGCTGACGGTTCTCTCTCTTTGAAAGTCAAAAGCTGCGGAAGCGATCACGTGATCACAGAGGCGCAAAACTGCGGAGGGTTGTGAATTTGTGGAGCGCATTCGGCCAACATAGTGAAACCCCTCAGAAATCTTTGAATGACGAATGTCTATGGATAATCATATTGAACTTGAAACAACGCAATGCAGCGGTACCTGTACTTTGTGAATCTTTGTATTTCTGCCTTAGTGTTTGCTTGACAGCTGCTTGAGGTCATGAATGACATTGCCATGGGTGAGAAGAAGAACATGAATCTCCCGGGTGTAAAGGTTGACTTGCCTGTGTTGCAGGAGCTGAAAACAACCAGTGTACTGTCCGGTTACTGTGGTACGACCTGCTACTGTAGACTGACCAGGCTGATGCAGTGCCTTTGCTAGTTGTGTGTGTGTGTGTGCGGCATGCACTCTTAGGATTGCAAGTATTCTGTTTGCCCATCCTCTGTATACGACAGGAATGGTCAGCTGATGAAACAGTATGATTGAGCACTAGTAGAACATGTAGAACTAGAGCTTGTGCATTGTGACAGTTGTATACAATTGTGACATATTGTGACCTACTTCAGTTACTTCAGCAGGACAAAGACAAGAAAGATCTTTTGGAGTTTGGAATTCCACAGGCGCGATTCTGTGGACGAAATCTGAAATGGCACAACAGCGGTCTTGTCATGTCGCAACTCCAGGCCATTGACTTCGTTGCGGCCAGCTTCGTGCAGGATAGCATCTGTTTAGACATGTAGAGGTTTCCTAAAATGGGGGTAATTACCATAAATATCACCAAATCATCCATTTGAATAGGATTTTCCATTATAAACATTATAAGTAGATAATTTATATTAATTATTATATACCATCCGGTTTGGGGATCCTCCATTTATCCTTATTTTCGGAATTCCCGACATGTTTCGACATGTTCGGGAGACTTCAGGGGAACAAAACGAACTCCGGCGCGAATGTGACATGGCCAGGATGCAGAGGACATCAAGCTGATCCGCAAGACTTTGGGTGTGCGCGGCCGAAGTATCAAAATCATTGCGATTCTCGATAGCACTGATGTTCCCATGTAACCCCACCAGATTCAGATCATTAATATTGATTAATCAACTATATAATTATATGATTTGTAATGTATTTATCATACAGGTTTGGATTGGCAATCTTCAGTTCCGCAAGGCCCATAATATCACAATACTATGTCAACCAAGGAAGATTGAGAACCAGGAAGGCATCAATAACATCGACCAGATTATCGAAGCCACCGATGGTGTCATGGTTGCGCGTGTGGGTCTCGGTGCTCGGTACTTGATTAGAGGCTTAGAGGATGCATTCGCTTTACAGCCAGCGATTTGCAAGAAAGGCTGCTCTTTTGTGGGTGGAATTGTGTACACTTGTTCTTTGTTGAACTTGGATGCTTGATGATTTTTGTTTTGCAGGTGGTGACATGGGCATGGAAATCGACATTGAGAAAGTCGGTTTGGTGCAGTGCTGCAGCAGCAGATATTATATCTGTAATCTTGAATAATTTTCTAAGGACTCATCAGAGTAGTCAGAGTAAAGAGTAAAACTGCGTTCATGTTTGTACGGCCGTGGAAACACCCCAACACCACGACGACAGGCATCATGAAGCATATTCTCTGTTTCGTCTGAGGAAGATGATCATCAACAAGTGCAATCTCAAAGGCATCTTTATGGTGCATGAAGGGGTCAAATTGTGACAGGGTCCTTGTTTTATTGCAATCAAGAAGCCTCTCAAATTGATGTTTGGATTGGCAATTTTAGGTAAATTCGTGGTGACCGCCACCCAGATGTTGGATTCCATGGAGCGCGCTCCGCGACCGACTCGTGCTGAAGCAACGGATGTCAACCGGCTGCAGGGACACATCGGGACACATTGCCTGCAACTGGTTGAAGATGGAGTAGTCTAAGTAGTCCTGGCTGAAGTCTCGACATTTCTTGATGTCGTTCTAGGCTGCATTTTATAATATGTGAACTATTAATATACGTATTTATGATACTCTATAAATCTCTATAATATTTTATGATATGTCATGATATTATGTTATGATATTTTATGTATGTTTATGTATTTTTTCAGAGATGTATATCTCGTCAGGTCTTGAACGCAGTTCTGGATGGCACGGATGTTGTGATGCTCTCCGGCGAGACTGCCAGTGGCAAGTTCCCGGAACAAGCAGTTGCAACCATGCGTCACATTTGCCAAGTGGGAGAGAGGGTGATGGACTACAAGGCAGGCTCTTCACTGAATTGATCTGGCAGATGGTAGACATGTGGCTGAGACATTGGCAGCCTGGCACTGACGACGATTTGACAAGCTCTCGGAGAGGCATTGTATTTGAAAATCAGAGTAGCAACTCTGGAATCGAACATCATGAGCCCTGTCTTTGCCTCAGAGAAAATGGACCATGAATCGTATGAGGAGTTCACTCATAGTTGCATTGATTTCTAGAGACCTGAGGTCGAGTCGATTTGCTCGTCTGCAGTGAAGACAGTCATTGATGCTGATTGCCCTTCGGCTGCAGAGTCAGACAACCATCCCTTCCATTGATGATTGCCACACTGACTTCACAACCCACAATTTCCACAGGTAGTGGCTGCATGTGGCTGCTGAGGCAAACTCATTATCGCTTTGACGGAAACTGAGATGCTGACACCGTGGGACCTGTCATTTGTCAAACTTCTTGCGCCATGTAGCATCAGGTTGCCCCTCATTGACAGCATGGCATGCTGACACCACATTCCCAGGACAGAAACCGGACACACGGCACGAATGATTGCCAAGTATCGACCTCCCTGCCCAATTTTGGACTCTCGGCTGATACAGCTGTTTTGAGACCAACTTTCCAGCTTGATGCGTTTATTGATCGTTCATTGTTGCAAACACGCGCTTTAAAGCCGGACATTTTAAGGCCATCACAGCAAGTGAGCCAGCGCTGCGACAGATGTTGGCAAATCGCGGCGTCACTTGCCCGAAAGCATCAAGATCATCAAGGAAATCCAGGATGGTATGACAGCACTGATACAGTAAAATAATGTCAAATACGGTCGCATTGTCAATTTGTCGGTTGGGCTTTATGGACACATTTTAGGATGTTCTATACAACAAGGTATCGGCTCAAACCGCCCTATTTTGAGGTAGTTCTGCGCTTTGCCTAAGCGGGGATTATTTTCCGGTCTTTCCCCGCGGGTTTTCATTCAGCCATTTGAGGCGGCTCCTTGATTACCTTGAGGTTTCCGGATCAGGTTTCGGGTTATCCTTGAAACCCGGGTAAACTCATTCCAATTCTACTTACCGCATTTGCTTTTGCTGTCTCATTTATTGGACCTCTGGCATTTGTGGATTTTGGCTTTATAATTTACATTATTTGATTTTCTGGCACTGCAGGGGCCGACTACTGTCATTGTGTGTGGCTGTTTTCGCTGGCGGTTTACCAGTTTCATTTATATTTTGCTATACTGATTTGATCTTCTTTGTCTGCATTAGCTGTCTACGGACCTCTTGCATACATTGATTGGTATTTGTGATTGATTTTAATTTCACTGGCACTGCGGGGGCCGACAACCGTTGGTGTGTACATTGACTTGTCTGTACATCTTGGTTTTGAGGCAGCAGTTTTCGGTGTGCAATTTGGTCAGTAGGTTCGTGGATGTGCTCATTTCTACTCCTGTTCCTTCTTCTGATCATTGCATTTACACATTTACAAGATTTCGCTCAATCAGCAGTCGGGAACTTGGAGACGCAGGGATCGAAGGCAAAGAGCTTCTGCAAGGAGGCAGTGGTTTTTGCACAAAAAGGGCAAAATATCCCTGACATCTGCATCGCTCATCAGAGTCAGGAATATCTTTTCCAAACATCACTCCAAGGACATTGCTTTTTTGAACAGGATTTCGCAAGAGATTCAAGAAAAGATGTCTGCAGAAGAGGCATACCCGTGGGTCTGTCCGTGTGGCAGACTCAACAAGAAAAGTGCCAACCAGTGTGCCCTATGTTGGGGCCATTGGTCCAAAGGCACGAAGCACGATGTCACTCCGAAGCTCAAGACGTATGGAGCCGACACCAGTTGGCACAGCAGCTGGGATGGATGGGATCAGAACTGGGAAAGATGGGAGCAAGACTGGGACGATACAGAGAGTGTGGGAGGATCCTCGCATTCCTCAAGAGGTCGCCGAGCCCAGCAGATCGAGTACTCCCCCAGGAGCAGGCCCAAAGGAAAAGGAAAGGCCAAAACGAAAGGCAAAGGCAAGACCAAAAGCGAGCAAACCACCAGCCCCTTTGGTGCGGCAAAGGGTGGGCCCGCGCCATTGCCTGCTTGGCCTGCCTGGACCAATCCGGAAGTGGGTTCTTCGCCATTCCAGAATGCTCAATCGAGCAAGAGCAATACCATGCAGGAGATGGCTACACATTTACGTCAGGCATTCAAGGATACAGAAGCTCCTGCAGATGTTCAGGCATTCCTGGAGAAGGCAGAGAAGGAATACAGCAGGAACAACATCAAATCCTTGCAGGCTGCGACCAAAAGCCTGGATCATGCACAGAAAGCACTGAGGGATGCTGTCAACGCAAAGAAAGACCATCGCCTCCAGTGGACCAGGCATGTGGGCGAAGGTATCAAGATCTGGGAGGCTCAACTGGAGGGCTACAGAGTTCATCAGGCCACCCTTTCAGATCATGCAGCCAAAGCAAGAGCGGAAATCGAAACCTCAAGACGGATCTTGAGGGAAGTCAGCGAGAATACGGTGAAAGAAGGAAATCTTTCTATCCCTCAACCAATCCAGGAGGAAACCGAAGATGTTACCTCGGACAATCTTGTGGATGTCGAGGAGCAGAAGCTGCGAGACCAACTCCAAGGAGTACTCAATGCATGTGCGGGTTCCTTGGGTACTCAAGTCGCAGCAGCCGAACAGCAGGTTCAGGAGGTTTCAGACGACGACAAAGAACAAGGTCCTCACAACAAGCGACCTCGTTCCGTGGAGCCAGCGAAGTCTGCTTCTGCGGTGCCGAAGCAGTGAAGTTGGGCCGTGGGTCAGCAGTTTTTGCAAATGCTGCTCATGAGGCCGGACCACACATGTTTCCGACATGTCATTCAGTGACTGGGGAAAGGAACTATTTGAGTCCTATTGCCGCTGTTTGGGATGCTTGGAAGCTTCGAGGAGAAGTGATTTCTCAAGGTTTTGAGGGTTGTTCTGACCACACAATGTTGCATCAATGTGTTCATCACCCACACACAATGTCGCTCAAATCTGTGCTGCGCATTTCTCAGGAACCTCAAAGTGTTCGTCGCATGAAGCGTGTTCATTTTGATGATTGTATTGAAGTTGCAAGTAGCACAGAAAGCGGCTGCAGTTTGTATAGTACTTTTGTTACGCATGGTGTTTTACATGAGTGGTCCGAGAAACCATGGCATTACCGACCGAAACCACCAAGTCGTCAGTTTTCATGGAGAAAACTCACAGATCTCACATATCCCTTTTGTGATTTTACCGATGAAAGTCAGCAGGCACTCAGCAATGATGAGTCAAATGAATTTTCCTGTCATGGCCTTAGGTCCACCTGTGAAGGTGCAGTCCAGCCCAGCATTATGATAGAATGTCCCCTTGATGACACTAGCCATGCATGTAAACGTGGTATTCCGAACAAGGGACGAAAAGACCTTTGCTCATCAGTGCTTTGTGAAATTACCAACACAACTTCAGATGGTCTCATTGTTACCGAAGGGTCGCGGTGTGCTCCGCTGTCAGACATGGCCGCGTTGAGCTCGCTTCCCAGGCAACAAGGCGATTTTTCAAGCAGAGTTCCTCTAGATAGGACAGTTGTACAGGCTTTCCCTGAGGACAAAGAGAATCAAGATGTGATATCAGCTGTACAGGTTGGACGGCCTGCACCTTATGCCCTCAAAAATTCGCCGATTGATTTGCAGCAAGCCTATCGGATGCATACCCGCCAAGAAGGGCAAAATCAGAACATTGATGGCGCTGATGATTTCTCTGGTGATGAAGGCGAAGGGTTCGAAGGATTCTCCCCAGGAGACAGTGTAGGATCTGATGTGACACGATCTTCGGCTGTTCACCCTGACAGACAAGACGTTTTTCTATTTCATCTTGACGACCAACCCATTCGTTCATATCTCAATTGGAACAGTTATGAAGAAATGATGACGGAAATAGCATATCATTACAGTCTGAGGAGGGAGGAGGTTGTTGAAGCATATGAAGTTGTTGTTTCACCTCCCGACATTGGTAATGATGCTGTTCCTATTGTAGTGCAGGTTCTTGACGATATTCCTCCTGAAAGCACTGACAGGTTGGTTTTGGTCGACATTGAATATCATGCACACAGAATTGAAAACAATTTTCGTACTGGGCCGAGTGTAATGCGATCTGTCAGGCAGATTCCTATGACAGCATCAAGAAATGACATTTTGCAGCGATCGAATATTGACAAGTACTGCAGGTCAGAGAAAGGAAGATGTCTCGTTTTTGTTAATTCGAGACGATGGCCTGACTATGATCTTGACAAAAAGACCATTGCGCATGGCGATTATGTTAGGATCGCAGTGCCACCTTCAGAAAGATATGCTTGTCCAACAGTAGCAATTTCCGAGATGACTCAGAGAGGTTACTCCGACCAGCAGATCATTGATGAATTGTACAATGACGATGCAGCGTCAGGATTCTCTCCAAGCCTCTTAGGCGATGAAGAGGTACGTGCGTTGGCTGCCAACGACGGCACAGACGGCGATGAGGTTCTTATGATGCAACATGCTCTGGACAAGGCTCACACCGGTGGTGCTCCTGAAGGTGAATCATTGTCCAGAAGTTCAGATTCCGAAAGCATTGTGCAAGACTGGTCTATTGATCTGCAGAGGATCGTTCAAGTACATTATCAGCAGTGCGGGGAAGATCTGCAAAACGACTTTATGTTCTCAGTTTACACTTGGTTCATAGATCAGGAAACTACAAGCTTGTGTCGAGAACCCAAAATTGCCATCCTCGGAGAAGACCCAGCAGAATGGAGAGAAGACCTCTTGCTGCCTTGGGAATATCACCTGGTCCCAGGCAACACGGTGTTAATCGATCTGGTACAACCATTCACGCAGAGACAAGGCATTGAAGAGCACATAGCACACATTATACTTACACAAAGACCGCGTGATTTGAACTCAGTCCTATTTTCAATTGAATTTGTGGATGAAGTTGAGTCTAGTGTGGTGGTATCTTTTGCTGTGGCAGTGCCCAATGTATGCAATGCGC